TTGACGTTTTGGACCCTTTACAGGTTCTATGTTCATATAAGATAAAGGCTATTTTCTTATGGCTCGATGCACTTCGACCAATATTGAATCGATCGTAGATTTAAATAGCATACACGTACCAATGGAGCAATTCGACCGATCTAATGAAGATCCGATACCAAACAACTTTTTCTAAATTAAATATATTTTTATTTATGAAGTATAAAGTGTATGTTTACGGTTACGCGAGCACATTTACAATTGGTTAACGCGTTTAATCTGTGGTTGCGAAGATGAAGCGACATTCGCAAAGGCCTGTAATTGGATAGGTGATCGATTTTTTTATTTTACTGAGTGCGGGGCGGAGTGAGTAAGTTAAAAAAATTTCGTCGCTTAACTTCCGCAATCCCAGATCAAACGCGTTAACTACTTCAGTATCGAGCCAATCCACACAGCATTCCTCACTGGACCTGCGTGAAGGTCCCAATGAGGATTGGTGGCGCTAAAGCACACATATCAATTGATGTAACTAAAACACCCAGAATTCCTAACTGCGCCTGCGTGAAGGAGCGAGTGAGGATTGGTGGTATTAAGTACCACACAACACAGATATTTTTTCATAGATGAAACCAATACGCCCAGCATTCTTGGGGCCGCGTGTAGATTCCTATGCAGATTGGTTTTGGTAAAGCTGAAAGATAAATATGAAAATATAGGTAAAGATGAAACCAGTTAAAAATACTGGGTGAAATTTTTAACTGGGCCTGCGTGTATAGGTTCTAGTGTGAATTGGTGGTGCTAAAGCACAGACATTAATTGATGTAACTAAAACACCCAGAATACCTAACTGGGCCTGTCTGAAGGTCCGAGTGAGGATTGGTGGTACTAAAGAACAGACATGTTTTCACAGATTAAATCAATATATCCAGCATTCGAAACTGGGCCCGCGTGTAGGTTCCTATGCGGATTGGTGGTGGTAAAGCAATATATTCTTTTGGATGAAACCAATTCATCCAGCATTCCCAACTGGGCCCATGTATAGGTCCCAATGCAGATTGGTGGCATCCAGCATTTCTAACTGGGCCTGCGTGTAGGTCTTTTGTGGATTGGTGGTGATAAGTCACAGATATTCTTAATGGATGAAACGAATATACTCAGCATCCCCCACTGGGTCTGTGTGAAGATCCTAATGAGGTTTGTGGTGCTAAAGCACAGGTGTTTTACCTAGTGAACTGTACTGGGCGCATGTAGTCGTCCTAAATCGCTCCGAAAAAAATTTGATCACCAATCCGATTTCCGGTCTTTTGCGATCGTCGGTTAACTTTCGCAATCGCAGATCAAATTCGCTACATACAAGTGGTGGTGTAAATCAAGCTTTTCACTTGTAGATATAGGAGGGATATTACCAAATTATTTGGCAAATTGAATATTTGAGAAAAAAAAATTACATTCATTTGATGATATAGTAAGATTGCGCAACTGAATAGCTACTCGATTTAACTGAACAGAAAATTGGAAAAATCAAGCGCGATCGCACTCGTACATTTCAAGCGATATCGCAGATCATGAGTACGTACACACAATTCGATGTCGAGGACATTTTTGACCGATATCGACAGATTGTGCAGTCTTATGAATAAACACTTGCGATTCTCCATACATTTTATATGGGCGTGCGATTCGTGCGATATCGCTCATCGATATCGAATTGCATCGCATCGAGCCATGAGTAGAGAGCCTAAAGTGTTGATTGTTTTTTTTTTTAACTGACGACTTCAATATCCAATAGGAGGAGGTTACATGTTCGACGGCGATGTATGTATGTTCACCGATATTTCCGTCACGTTTCCTTTTATCACACAACAAAATAAGTTTTTTACATTTATCATTTATCACCTAAATATTTAGACAATATGTATCGTATTTCATGTATCTTAGCTAAAACAAGAGATTGCGTATTTTGAATACATTCAAAATCCGAAAGGATTTTCTATGTTCAAGGAGTATCTATATTTTTTGTGAAAGTAAGTATATCAATCGATTTCTTCTTGAATTGTGAACCAATTTCTATCAAACTACTTAGCTGTTTCCCAGCGAATTCGCTTGCTTAACTTAGTCTATGTCCAAAACGTATTGTATAGCTTTCCATAGATGAAAGATTTTTGTAATCGGTCCAATATATAGTTTCGGAGCTTATACAATGCATGAAATATTTCCTCTTTATAATATGAGCATGAAATTATTAGAAAAAAATATGTCGAGCAAAAAAACAAAATCTTCTTTGTAAGACTTTCACTATGTTGAATGTTTTTATTTATTTAGATCTATATCTATACTGCAACGAATAGGCTCCGAAAACACTAGACTGATTTTAAAAATTCTTTCACCTATGGGAAGCATATGCTGTGAACATAGGCTATATTTTATCCCGAGAAACACACAAATAAAGGGTTGAAAATGAGAGTGGAAGTTGATATATGAAATGAAAACGTTGATATATGAAAAGAAACTGTTTACTATTCAATTTGTCACTGTTATTATATCCGTGTGATCGTGTCATGATATGAATCAATATCCAAATAAACAGTTTCCTAGGGACCACGCGAGCGAAACCGCTGGCGGAAAGCTAGTATTTAATATTTTTAGTGTTACCTATTATATCAAAAATATAAATATTATACGTAGTCTTTTTTACCATCATAATCATGTATGAGCTTTAAATTTTATTTAAAAATATGCATTTCGCAGGTCTCGGTGTGCCTCGGGTGCTGTAAACCATAAATTGCAAAATCTAATTTTAATATTAATTAACATTTTGTTGTACAAAAAATACTATAATAGGTAGAAAATTTCTCAGATTCATATAGCAATCTTTGGGTGAATGATTGCTTTAGGTACTACAATAGGAATGACGAGTGGGTAAAAAAAAAAGATATTCTATTTAGTCCGTCAGTAAAACAATAGAAAAATATTAGATAAGTATTTTTTTTTTCTTCAATTTAACAAGGAATAGCTTAGATAACAGGCATTAAAGTTGAGGAGTGGGGGCTCGCTACGTCACAGTTTTGTAGTCATGTGACAATTTAACCCAATGTATCGCCGTTATTTAATGATTACGAAACTTATTTATTATTTAAAGATTTTCAACAATCTACCTGACGGACAAACAAACTTAAATTAGTCGTCATCCCTATTATTATTTCCCTGCTTTATTTTGAATGATTTCTCGCATCTTGATAAAAAAAAAATCTAAGGAGTTTTAGTTGTAAAATTTTAATTTAATATCAATAATAAATCAAAATCAAAATTTTGTTTTTAAAAGGAACCTTTTGGTGAACCATACGTTTCGTATGGACAAATCTAACGAGCCTGAACTCCACAGAGTTGCGTCATTTAATGGCAAAGTTACCATGGCCACCTTTAAGTTTCATCATCATATTTTTACTATCTTGAACCAAAACTCTTGTCTAGACTCGATGTGATTGCCTCTTTTAATCACATTATGTTCCATGATTACCTTCCGAGTCTATCATCTAATCAAATTTATTCCTTATTAATATTGCACTGTCATCTACAAACGTTATGCATGCAAAATTTTAGCCTAATGCAAAACCGGGATATTACTGCTAAAGTAAATATGTATAATATTCGGACATAAGTTTTAAATTAAAAATTAAGGAAATAGTACGAAATTTTTTAAACCCTCCCTTAATAAAGCTGATAAAGAGAAGGATTTCAATTGATATTTCTCAATAAAATAATTTTATTTTACATATTGTTTTTCGCATCTAAAATCTCATTTATTGCCGGGCGCAATGAGACGGATAGGTCGAATTCTCTTGGCGCCTCCTCTTAATAAAACCACTTAAGTTATTGGACACAATCCTGTAATGTCATAATCAGCGCTTTCTAGGAAATGAGGAAATCATGAAGAAACAAAATTTCGGGAAAGTTCAACAAGAAATGTAATTTGGAAGTAATGTTTGGAAGAAGTCAAACGCAACAAGTGTTATTTAGTAAACTTATCATTTTAGATGTTTGTTTTATTGACAACAAAACCAATCATTTTTGTTTATATTTACATAATATTTATACACGCCAATTGTTAATTAAGGGATGGGGTCGTATTATGATCTCTATCTAACACTACAACTGTAGTGGTCGTAGCGGAATGGTGTAATATACGCATGTAGTTTTCTTTCATTTAATAAATACTTTTGTATCGAAATTGAGAGCTCATAGTAGGGCCCCTGAATGCAGTTTTATAATTATTCGATCGATAAATGTATTATAAAATATTAACAAATATCTTTGACAGTTGTAGGTCCTATAAACAGTAACGTCAAAGGTGAATTACATTTCATTCAAACAAAGAGCGGTCACCTGCAGTTAATCTACGAGCCGTATATATTTGTGACGGACAGCGTGCGCAGCGGAAGAACGTTTTGGAGGTGTATGGAGTATGGGAAACGGTGTCGTGCCCGTATCACTTCTAAAAACAATGTCCTGCGCATCACCAATCCCGTTCACAATCATTTAGATAACCATCTGAAGAAAATCAATCGAAAATATGAAGAAGGAGAGGTCGTTACATGCCCTTCAGTCTAAAGATGGTCGTGATGAATTTTAAATGTTTAATTGGTTTTTTATGTGTGTTTTGTGATGTAAGTTGACTAAGGAATGGCTACTAGTTTCTTTCCATATCTTGTTTAATTCTATAATAAATGTGTTTCGTTTGTTTTCGTAGTTAGGTATTATCATAAAACTTATTAAAACTTGAAAATTTGTAGTGCGTATGGTTTCATAGTGGGAATTCCCATTCAGTCGATTCGATCTTTTATCATGTTTACATAATTCGCTGAAATTATTTTAGTAAGTACATGTATGAAATCATCGTTTTTAATATAAAATGTGATCAAGTAGAATAGATACTTATGTAAGGCTTCAATAAAATATTAGATTATCAGAAAGCGTTTTTTATTAACATTTTATAGTATTGTCGTGATTATGTGATGCGACAGGCGGACGTGGGTCGCAAGTGCTGTATTCGGTGACCAGGCGAGGCGCGCCGTCGCTGTTAGTGGACGGATTTTCGTTCGTCGCTCGGAAGCGTCGTGGTGCGCGTGTGTATTGGACGTGCCGCAGTCGGGCGCACGGCTGCGCGGCGCGCGCGCTCACGCTACACGGTCGGTTGCTCACATGCACCGTACATCACCCACACCCACCACATACGCCTTTACAAAACGAACACACACGTATCGAAAGCCTCATCGAAACTATACCTTCCGATCAATAAAGTACTAATCCTTAATATTTCCATATTGTTTTAATTTATATCGCCAATTTCCTGCATGCTTAAATGTTAATCGCATGCAATAACATGGGTTGTCGGTAACTGTTAGTGACGGGCGTAATGTTTTGCAGTTGAGTTCGTGATATCGAATCGGGGCCGGCGTCATATGCGACTCGGCGGTTTCTCTTTTTATGCGGAGAAGGTGTTCCCGGAGAAAAGTAAGGTGAGGTGGCGGTGTACGCGGCGGACTTGCAGAGCTTATGCGCACACGTTGCATGACCGAATATTCGCATTGAGCAACGTACATTCGCACGAACCCCCTGCACTACCGCCACAGACGATCGTGGCCGCGGCCGCTACGGCTGCGTCCGCCGCCGCCGCTGCCGCCCACCGTGCATTCACGCAGGCCGCCCTCGCCGCTCAAGCTAAAGCTATGCTCGATGATTAACTCCACAGTTTTAAGAGATACAGCGACATACTCACCCAAACATGATCCAGTTTAGTAAAATTCAATCCTATGATGACTTATGAAGTGTCAAACTTAAAAATACCAGACTGATCATAAAATAAACCACAAAACTTTCTTTTAATTGCAGTTTGTACAGAAATTATAATCATCATGCGTAACTTTTGCATTATCATCACTAAAACCTTGAAACTAAATGGTACGCGCGATGTTATCATGGATAGTTAAAAATTATAATATTATTTATTCTGCAAGGTGATTAAGACGTTCTTAACGAGTGTATTTTTTAAACTTCACAAGTAATCAATACTCATCTTCGAGAGACATATAATAATACTTTGTACTACACTTACGAGAAATTTTCACAGTCTTTCTTTTTAATTGCAACGCACATGTCTGCATCAGTCACAGTCGGTCAACATTCAGCCCTGCGATTCTGTAAAAATACAGACCCGAATTCGAATTCACTCATTTGTCCGAATTCACGTTCTTTTATTTTACATATTCTATTTTTTGTATAAAAATACAAAATAAAATTTATTGAATGTATCGTGTCTCAGATATTATATTCCTATGTCATTTCGAAACTCACTTCACTTATGCCACGAAACGTTATTACTAATTCAAGGAGAGCGGATGCCGCTTTTTGAAATGAATTCGAATATTTGAGTGAATTGGAATTAGGGTTTGGAATTTTACAGAATCGCAGGGTTGTTCCGAATTGCGTTGTGCGAGTATGTTCGTGAACGACAACCCGTTTCATGTTGAATTTATTTTAAAGCCAAATTCAAAATTGAATTACTGAATAAAAATGAAAATAAACACTTTTATTTTTTCTTCGTACAGTGTTTTATAAAGTAGTAATAATGAGCAACTTTTAGAGCCAGTAATAATAAACTTCCAGAGTAAATGTAGTATAAAGATATTATTTCTCCATACAATGAAGGTTGCATGTGGTATTTTGCCTGATGCGAGTTTGTAAATAATTTATTTTGCTATACCTAACACATTTATACTAAACTGGTAACATACTAAACGAGGTTTTAGTTGTTTGGGATTATGTTACGGTGGAGTACTTTGACTTTATCGTTAAGGTTTTGTTTTAACTACGCTGATAAATTTTACAATTTCACTATTGAAAATATCAACACAAGCTAAAGGTATGATTCCGATCTTGGCAGCACGCAGTACTACTGGTACACATATATTCTCTATCGCATTTTAGTATTGTCCAAATTCATATTATATAGGTTAACCTTTGCCAAGTCTCTGTTGAATAATATGAATTTTGACTAATACTAAGTGCAGTTTCAGCGTAAATTTACTTCAACGCTAAACCTTGTTTATTAATAACACTGTATAGGTTTATATGAGACTACATATATTCCTAGCCCCCTGCACCTGCAGAGCGACTGCCTAACTCTCTAGCCTAGAATTTATCTATAGGATATATAGGATAGATCTTAGCGATATTATGACGATATTTTGTTTCATGTTATTACTTTGACATGTCGTTTGGGAGATAAATTTGGGATAAATGAAAGTCGTCATTAAACCTTAATGGACGTTTGTGCAAATGACCGTAAGTTGGTAACACTGCTATCAAATCTATAATACATATGCGAAATATCAGCATAACAATGAAAAGATATCGCATCCTATGGCTAGAATCACGGCCAGAGAGTTAGGCCTTGCAGACCAGTAGGACGTGTACTTAAAATTTGTCATCTCTGAAAATATCATTAACACTTATATTTTGAATCGGCGTCTTAAAACGTCCTTCCCGTCGTAACTACTAAATAAATAAATGTTGGCGTTCTATGGACATCTTGTTTATTCAAAGCAACTAATTGAATTCCACAAAGGCCTTGCGCAGTGCCGCAGTATTGCAACGGGCTGCGATCGGAATCATACCTTAAGGTCATTAAAGAAAACCGTTGTAGGTAAATTAAGTGATACCTAAATATACCCCAATGTATACTCAAAGAACGGTTGTATATCACTTACTGTACTATTTAGTCACACGTTCGTCCATAAAACTGTTTTGAATAATATACTGAAGTGGACTTAAAGTTCTCACTGAAAAGATCAATAGAATATCTCATTATGAATCTTTTTCATGGATCTTAGTGCATATCCAGAATTTTAAACATACTTGATATGAGAATTGTAAGAACTAGTCCGAATTAGGTGAAGACAAATTAAGAAATATTCGATTATTTGGCGGTTGTTAATTATTGAAGAGGTTTTTGTAAATGCTCTATTCGCATAGCTTTTATTTAGTGAGTATATTTTCACTTGTCATTTTCACGATAAGGTTATGGCTGAGTGATCACTTCTATTTTGTGGTGATGAACTGATCTAGTCAAGTTTAAATTTCTAGAAATAATTAATTAGATCTGAATAAGCTACGTATATAAAGAGATATGTATGAATTACATATTGGGATGAAGGTAATAATAGCACAAAGGTATAATATGTCACTAGTCAGACATGTGCTCTTTCACTTTGTTTTAATTATTTATTAATTACATTTTTTAATGATGATCTCATTGTTTAAATTATGTCGATTTAGCAATAAACAAGTATGTATGTGCCGTACGTACGTTTATATAATTACATAAAATGAGTCCACTGATACATTTCGAGTAGTCTAGTCAAAATATTACTATGTATATACATGCTATATTCAGTAAATAAATATAATAGTATATTACCAATCTATTTTTACGTTATGTATAAAATAAAAAGGAAAAAAATAAATTGTGATGGGGCTAACATAACAGGTGCATGTCAAAAGGCTTATTTGTAACGGTAAACTTTAACTGATCGTGTATGTTTTAGAGAAGAACGTGCGTTTATGTGTGGGTCCGGGTGGTCGACCGCGGCTATGGGTGCGCGGGCGCAGCTTTTACGCGGCACATACGATGCGCTCAGGGGTGGTGCGTTGGCGCTGCACAATGGGCGGCTGTGGCTGCAAGGCGTACACTCAAAAGGGGACGTTACATAAACTAGTCGGTGAACATAATCACGCCGGCCGCTGTAGACGCACAAAAGCATCAGTACCAGCCACGATACCCACACCGCTTCTGTTACCTAGATTACCACGCCAAGATTTCGAAGATTTCGATCCTAATGCTTGGATGGTTCGATATTGAAAAAAAAAAATCATAATTCCACAAAATACGCCCGTTTATGTTGATAAAAGTTGTTAAATACCAAATTCGCCAACTCCCTTATTATATATACTATATGGATTGAGATCTTTTTCCAAACGCTTAAACATTTTTACATATCAGTAATATTCTAAGGGTAATCAATGCCAAATAATACAACATTCTTAGTGCCAAACTATTACAATTGATTAATTCTGCTAAAAATATACCTCAGAAGTAATTCATACCATTTTATGTCAACTACACTAGCCGTAAATCCTTTGTAGATTTTACAATTAACATTCCGCTTGTTCTTTTCTGTCTCAAATTGCGTGTTGTGTTGTAGTAGAACTGTAATGGATATAAATTAAAACTACCTTCGGAGGAAGTTTTCAGGAGCAATACGTTAATTAGCTCAAATTTTAAAGTTATTGCAGTTTTATAAAACAAAAGAGTATGAAACAGAAATTTACTATATCGGTCGCGCCATTACATGATCAACCTAGTCAAAATTTAGTATAATTAAACCAAAATATTTATAAGATAATTAAATTTAATAGCTAAGATCTCATAAAAGTACTGTAGTTAAGTGCCAAAAATAAAATTTCATTATAGTGCGTTGTGTCTTTATCATTAGAAATTTTACTGTAAATAATTCTAAGGTACCTTAAATTATTAAAATAAAAATATTTACAGGCAGTTTTAATGAAGTTATCTAATGTTAATTTGTCATAATTCATTGTCGTCTTCCTATGATTTTATAAGGTGCAATGTTATTTTGTCATATTTTATTATTATTTTTAGGTTTTTATATTTTAAGATTAATGCCAAATATTATTAAACATAATGTGCCAAACGATTGCTCATTTCGTCTCATGGACAAAAAATAACCATATTTCATTGATGTAATTTTTGAATGTTGATATCATGAGTTGTGTATGTGTAATTGTGCTAATTAAAATAGGTTGAAAATTCCAGTGCCTTTTATTGAACTAATTTGAATTATAATTTTCGATCTCACTCGTATTTTAATTTTCCTTTACCAGTTCCTTTACTATAAATTTGTATTTAGATAATAACTAGCTATACTAATAATACTTATATAATAATAACGTGATTAGTAATAGTATGAAATTATAAACATGGACGTTTATTAATATGTTATGTTTTGAACAGCTCGGTTCATCCGCGCCGGCAAGGGTCGTCTGCTACTGCACCGAGGGTACACTTTTCGCCTGAAAAACAACTTGGCTCACGGTCGCAAGCAGTGGTACTGTTCGTCTCGGTTGACTTCCCGCTGCCTCGCTGATGTCAACACTGAGGGTCCCGAGGGCCACGAACGCATTGTCCGTTCTCGTTATGCGCACAATCATGCGCCGCCGAACGTCCGTCGATTCGCGGATGGTAGATACGTGGTGCGCACGCCACATCAGAGTGGTCACCGAGCTCCTGCGCCGTTGGATCCACACCATCAGTTATTGCAGCTTCAGCACGCGCTCGCATTGTATGCCGCCACTGCACATGCGACCGCTACCGCCAACGCGAGCGCTGCCGTCACAAACACCGGAGCTGCCGCGCAGCCGTCGCCCAACTCACTACCGCCACCCGTTACACATGCGCCGGCGTCCAAACCACTCCTCGTAGACACTCCTTGTAAAGAGGAGGACTAAAATAATACGGGTTCATTGATCATGTTCATTTCTCTGATTCTATAATCACTTTTCGATCGATGCATAATATCAAGCATTTCTTATATGTAAGCCTATTGGCACACGAGCTGTAGCATAAATTATTTAGAGTAATTATTAATTTATAAGGGGATAAGGTGTCGTTAATGATTCAGAACGGCTATTGTTGGGTTATTATGTCATGTAATGTGAATGTTAGTTAACCATTAAGTGGGTGTTGTAATGTATTGGATGTTGCGATGACCAGTAAAGAGAACAGATGGTACCAGTGTAATCCCAGGTGTGCGGACATATGTACCTAGGGTTAAGAAATATCTTTGGGATAGAATGTTATCCTTATAGGTGTGGGTAATATATGGATTCGTATAAGAATGTTAAATGTTTAAGAACTTTTTGTGTGTACAGTGATGTCATCTTGTAACGATATCAGGTAAAGTCTGTCTAATAAACTATTGATCTTGGAGTGGCAAATTCACCCAAATTTAAAAAACATATACAAGCCGTTTGAAAGGCCAAAATTCGAAAACATTACCTTCAGACTTGTGACAAAACCAATCTAGGTCTATTCCCGAGTCTAAGAAGCTAAGGTTGTCGAATAGAGTGAAACTAGGGAAGGAAGAGTAGGTTTGGCAGAAAGGAAGGGAATTAAATTTTAAAGAGTTCTAAATATTGGGTTTTTTCAACGAAGTTTGCTTTTAAATGACATCTGTAATACCAAACACTTTTAAAATTGCGATTCTCTTCTCCAAGGAACACTTAAAGGGGAACAAGATATGGAAACTTTAGGAATAGGCATTGTAATGAAGTTGATGCCCAAATTAGCTCAATATTTTATTAGACAATCTGTTTAGAAAGATGGTTATTATCCGGATATGGCCGATTTTAGCGTTTGATTTAATGTTGGCTCCAGTCGATCCGTGCAGCATCATCGCATTGTCGCTTCAAGGAGGCCGAGGCAGGTACTAGCAAGCTGGTTAATAAGTCAGGTCAGGTTAGCTCAGATCAGGAACTGGAGAGAACGTATAAGTCTACAGACGTTTGGGTATTATGAAAGGCCGACGGCTACGGCTGTTGGCATAGCGTCGGTGACTGAATACGGAAACTCGGTTCGTAAAAAGCAATATTGGGTGCCCAGACTGCTACTTAGAAATACTTAATTTATTTTGAGAATTTGAACTTTATAAAGTTTCAAATATTGCTACTACTTAGACGATTAGAATTCCGCCTCCTAATCTATAAGATTTTGCATTAGCTATTGGTAATGGTGAATTATTCGAAGTACTTACCTATGGTGGTGCTCTGCCTGTGCTTAGGCATGAGCGTAAACGTATGCGCAATCTTAGTCGATGTTGTTGTGCTCTTCAGGATTGATTTTAAGTACTTAAGCTCAATAAACTACCTCTTCACTTTTTTATACGGGTTTTACAGATTAGTTTAATTATACAATTTTATATATATGATAAAATACTCAGAAGCTTTACTCGAGTAAGGTGGCCTAGGTTTAAGTATAGGTTAGATTAGGCTAACGGGTGCGGCGGGGCGGGGAGCCGCGCAGGGTCCGTCGCGCCCTCTTTTACTACCTCAAACTTGACTACCTATTTACTTAGTTTTAACTTGTATTCGATCGTTCGCTGTTGACGACTTTAATATAAATAGGCACTTTTTGAGACTGTTGTCTTAATATATTTTATTAATTGTTTTTTTTAATGCTTAATTTGTTGCTCTTCGATATATTCGTATTCACATTAACATTGTGGTTCTGCTTTGTCTACCACTCTGATTTAAGTACAAATTTTTAATAATTTTAATTGTTATTTAGATGTCTTACATAATATACTTATGGGTCTTGTGTAGTTTTAATGGCGTGACGTATAAGGATGTTCTGGTATAGATGTTATCATAGATGTGCAGTCTAAGTGTGGCAGCACTAGCGACCAAGGAATGGATTCAGAGGATCGTGCTTCATAATATACTGTTTTTGTGTCTAGATTCTGGGTCGTTGAAGCCGATCTATCTGGAGGTATTGCACTTTTCACTACATTTGTATATCTATTTGCACTAACTACTTATTTCTCGATTATGTCAATATAATTTTATATTAACATCGCGTACCTGATCAATACTTAAAGTCAAATACACTATCGAAAGGTGTCCAAAACCGTGGCGACAGCTATTCATAGAGTAAAGTAATACAATATAATTAAATATATTTGTAAGTTTTATTGTTATATTACTTATACATATTTAGAGCAATGACAATATAAGTCAATTATGTAAAATAACGATTTATTATTTTGAAAGCATAATGTTAGGAGTTTCTCCTCACTGTAGTGTAAATAATGTCTGTTCACAAGACGCACGATCCGTGGCAGGTGTATGTATATTATCTTTACAATTATGAATTTTGTACAATCGAATGTCTCGGTCTGAATATTATCTTAATGTGATTTTATCTATTTGCTCATATTGTTAACTTATTGCGAATCTCTTAGGTAGTGCATGGTACCGTGTGTATTAAGTATAGGCGCTACCGGCACGGTTTTGGTCTTACTTAGACCCATTACCGCTTACGAAATCAAATTGACTATCTACCTCATATACTGTTGACTAATCTTATACAAGTCTTAGCGATAATGTAATTTTATTCTTATACCATTATATGAATAATCATAAGATTTTTTGGTTCATATTCGGGGTACGTTTTGTGAAATCATATTAAATTGTACTTATAAATAACCGCTCGTTTTAATTAAGAACTCCTTAGGTATACAAATCTGGCGTTTAGTAAATTTCCCTTTTGTTTCATGGTGGGTGTACCTAACTGTTGTCTGACCCGTTTATTTTCTGCAGGTATAAAATTTCTGAAATCACGCCGCGGGAAGATAATAATGATGGTGAACACGTTTCCGTTTTGCGAAGAATCTAAATTGAGGGATAAGGTGATATGGCGGTGTACATCGAAGAAGACTAACTGTAAGGCTCGAATTCATATGCTGGGCTCTAGTGTGGTGGCCGTGAAGGGTATGCACAATCACCCGCCGCGCGCGCCTGCGCCGTGCTTGCCCACTCGCAGGTCCAGCGCACGCAAGCACCTCGACGCTCCCCCCCCACCGCAACAAATGCTGCCTGTCGCTTCAATGGATCCACTAACGTTATAGTCCTCCAATATCAAACGAACAATTATGTTAATTTTTCAATTATTTAATTCAATTATTGTATTCTAATAAGATTATGTGATAGACAAACAAGACAATACCTTGTTACTGCCCTTATTAGATATATACGATCTACTGTTGATGCATTAATAAGTTTTCTAATGTTTTTTTATATTTCAATTTCATTCCATAATGTGTGAACGCTTGATTTTTAGGATTGGTAAAGAGGTTTAATTAATTAGTTTGCGTGTAGCATTTGTATTTCGAATCTTTAAAAAATTGGAATTAAATAATAAAATAGGCATATTAGTTAGATACCTATAAAACTATATAACGATGTTGTGCTGATTGGATGTTAAAATTTCATTCCATGACAAATTGTGACTAACGAAAATCGGTAAAATTACATAACATTTTCAATGAAATATATTTATGTATTGTACCTTAATATTTTCAAGTCGGTGTTATTTCGACATAAAGAAATAATAACAGGCATAGGTGACAGTGTGCGTGTACAACACGCTCTTAGTTTGCCACGTTGGTGCTTACGCAGCGGTTGATATATTCATATTTTATGTAAATTTTAAGATTTTGTGATCAATACTTTTTAAAAGTATGATTGAGTTTTTATTGCTCAGTACATACCTCGATGAATACCGTATGTTTTGAATTTGGTTAGTTTTTTTTTATATATCAAATTGTAAAGCATATTTTGAGTAGTAAAAACATGGAATTGCGATAAGTGAAAATATGAGGATTATTCTATACATTGTTAATTACACTTTTGATCGTTTGACATAGTTAGTTTTTATACGTACTTATGATATTAATATTATGTACTTGATTTGTATCTCAAAATCAAGCTCAAGTGCCTTTTTTGAAAGTGAAGGGACCATTGTCAATTTATATTATCGATATACTAAAACATTCCTTATGTAAGTCTCCTCCAATATTTAGTGGGGCTTTATATTTTTTATTAATGTATTTGTAATTTTTTATAACTTTATATTGATTTAGTATAAGGTCGTTATATTTTGTGAAAAGTATTAAGTCTGTAAGATTCATTAAATAAGTTTAAATATTTGTAGTTGTTTAGTTCTTTAATTTATTAACTTTCCGTATTTATGGAGATATTTCAATATGATAATTCAAGATATTGTGTTATTTTCTGGAAATATAATCTTTACTGCAATGTTGTTACATTAATGTGTATGTGATTATGTAATTCGATTAGTGTGCGTCGACTGAAATAATGACAATTACATTGGTAGGCTACATTTGTATGGCGGTGGCCTTTTAAAAGTACAAAATCTTCATAGGATGATTGGTGGATGATAATGAAAACATTTCTGGTTATAGGTCGTTTGGTAATCTTTTAGGCATCAAACTTTTTTTCGTAATATTAGTTATAATATAAATTTGCATAAATTTATAATTTTGTAAGGCCCGCAACCGAGTTATGACAAACTAATGATTACTTTGTCTTATATAAAAATTGTGGGTAATAAATTGCAGTTTCCTGGAATTGTTTTATAAGTTCCTCACAGTCGATGGAGATGATTGAGAATTCAGCCTTAGTTCGTCTATTACGGTTGAGATATGGAGTGATATACTGTTGTGGTTATTTAAGGTGCCCTGCTTAAAGCAGCTTACGTACCGACGGGCAGAGGCAAGTACAATTTGGTATTAAACGGATACTCGTTTATTGAGACAATGCCCTCTTACTGGGTGTGCTCGCGAAAGAAGACCACTGCTTGTCGGGCGATCGCTCGCACCAACAAACGACGTGAGGTGGTCTCCGTCAGCCACCAACACAATCACGAAAGACCGCGCTTCTATCAAAAGACCACAAAGAAAATGATACAGCTTTAATTCCTGTTTCTGCACGATTCATTGGTTCCGAAAATTAAAATACTAGTTACTGTACATTCATTTTTTTATTATGATTATAATTATGGTTTAAATTATATTTTTCGTTTATATTTTATAATTTCATTGTGAGACCTTCCCATCTGACTTGCGTTGATGATTAAGGTAACAAATGTTGTATTGTTTATTGTTAGTGACACGGTAATTAACAAAACTTTACATTTCAGCGTTCTTCTTACCATCTAGAGCTGGGAAGTCAGTGTTAATATTTCGGTATAATAAGTTTTGGGTGAATAACCAGTATCGTAACAAGTTAAATTGGGCTTGCCGAGACAAAGACACGAAGGGCTGCCTGTGCAGAGTTCAAACTACAATGGAAGGCCGCTTTATCCGTGTGAGAGGAGGCCACAATCACGAACCTAACTTTACACCAGACAATTTCGATGCACCTGCACTCGTAGACAAATATGTAAACGATGCCGTGCCGCAGAAAACGAACCACCACTCGAAATCTAATTATATTGATAATAAAAATTTAAAAACTGAAGATTCAATGATAACATCAATAAGATCCCAATTATAACTAGTGTTATACATGTTCATTGACAACAATGGCTGTGATAAAATCTCTCGTACATTCTGTTGACTGAGCAACCTACAACAATTGTTCCATTCCTTATTGATATGGTTTGTGATAATCGCACGCTTTTGTTATAATCATGTTTAGCTTTTTGATTCTTTTTTTTAGTATCAAGTACTTACTTTATTGTAGATAATTATTTTTAATGGTGGTCTCAAAAGTCAAAATATCAATTTGATTTGTTTTAATTATTTTTATTTTCGCGGTACGACTGATTTGCTTACGTTATTGTCATAGAGGTACCTATACTATTAAGTGTAATTCATACCGTGTCATTTTTATTTTTTGATAATGTAAGTCTTATTTCGGTAATAATTGCCAAAAAAATATATTAGAAATTCTTTAAGAAGTACAAAATATGAAATCTTACGTCAAATCTTGATAGGGACCTGACTCTTTATAGACGTGGTAAAATGGAAAGATAATGTAATATGTATATGGAATTTAGAATGGTCCGTCTCTTCACTGTGGACAAGAATATTACTTTTTTCTCAGCTGTGAAAATACTGAATAAATTACATATTTTAAAATAGTTTTTTTTTTTATATAGTTAAGGACATTGTACGGTATTAACTATTAATACATGATACTCAATGTTTCTGTGCAATTAGCAAGATAGAGAGATCATTATGTTGCAGTGTATTGGGGGATGTCGCGGTACGGGAATCCTGTGTTGGTAATTGATGGACACAGATTCCGCAAGGTGGGAGGCTTCAACGAATTGAAAATACCAAAAAATCCTAGAAGAAGAACAAACCGTACCACATGGCGATGCATCAAATCGGACTCTGGCTGTATGAGTTATGCAATTACTATGTTCGATAAAGTCATAGCCATTGGACATACTCATCAACATAGCGAACCGAAACGTACTCGTAAACGAATAAAGTGTTCATCTCTTCCTGCTCTGTACAATAATGGGACTTCATTGGAGTCATTGTTTGAATCGATATTCTGCTAGAGATTTTCTTATCGAATAAGAATTTTCTATAGTCTGATTTTAAATTAGATTGACAGAACTGACAGCTTTTACCTTTTATTTTAACTGTTGCAAGGCTTCGTTTAATGTTGTAACTTAGCTCTATTGAATGATTCATTAATCCGTTCTGTGATATGACTCATTGAGCTTTTTTATTCATCAGACCTCTGAAAGTGATTTCTATGATTTCACTAAGTTGTTTTATAAATCTTTGTAATGAAAAAGTTAGTTTTACTAAAAAATACTTAAAGAATTTATTTATCACGAAATACATCAAATGCTAACGAATCATAATTCATATATCACATCCTATCACTCAGACCACAACGCTATTTTTATTTGCCATAAAGTGGTAACCCACTAAATGTCGGTTTAGTCCATCTAATTCAAAAGCAGAGTATACTTACTAGAATAATTTTAAGTATTTTTTTATTAATACACAAAGATTGTTTGCCACATGATTATTTGTGTATCTATTAATGTTAAGCTGTGCATGAGTCACTCATGCACATTCTACTTTGAAAATAAATTAAATTCAAAAAATAAATTTGAAAAAGTCTTATATGTGAAATTTTTTGGCTCTAGTCTTAGATATACATATTATAATTTTAAACATGTTGCGTTTTTTTTCGGATTTACTCTGCCATAGATATCCCCTGACATATGTATAGTTAACTGATAGATTATATTAGGTCATAGGTATGTAACTATTGCTGAAGGAGTCACTTTTAGTTGCAGGGGGTGGTAATCCAGCAGATGCGCCTCCAACTCTGGGTCTCCCATTTCCGTTTCCGTGCTTCCCAGGGCAGTTCCGTTACTGCTTGAGCAAACGCGGAAAACCAGCCATCGAGGTTGGCGCTCACCGGTTCTGCTTCAACGGGCGTGCCGCAAGCGGGAAGGTTTGGTGGCGCTGCTCCAGAAACCCTCGGTGCCGTGCCGCTGTTCATACCTTCGGACTCCGTGTGGTACAAATGAATAGCGCTCATACTTGCGGAGTACGTGCCACTCCACTTAGGCCCATGTTCTAAGTCCATATCCATTTCATGATTATTTTTAACAGCTGACTTACAACTTTCTTTACTTTATTTGCATTCTTAAAGGATCAATAACGTGTAGTATGCTCATAGACACATGTATTTTGAGTCAATGTCACTGGTACCGTAATATGAAACACCTTCAACGATTCTGTGAATAAATAGGGAATTATATTTAGCCCGTGCCGGGTGCCGCCACGATTAATGATAAATCGGTTCATACATTCACTCGATGCACGGGACGGGACTAATGTAATCCAAATGTATGAAACAGATTTCAGCAGAGCGAGGTGGGGATTGACTTGTGGCTTGAAGCTTTTTCCAAGAACTACATGTATAAAGTAAGTCGTAGCTCACTATGGGCCGTACAAGAAAGCAAGTGTAAGTGGTGTAATAATTCATTAGCATGTTGAAACTTATAAAAGAGTCATATTGTTTACTGAAATCTGGTCATTTATAAAGCATAATACTTATATTAATTAGGGAGAGATTAGAAAATGATTTAACTTGATTTTTAAATGAGTCTGCAGACAAAAATAATATTATTGGCGAGAAGTCAATTTATTATCATTGCGATGATCACCGGCGGGCCCGCCTATGTTGTGAGGAATTGGCACAGATTATGATCTCAACCAGATGTTGGAAATGTATCGCGTTTTAGCTGGATTTAATTTTGTTCTTTTGAATGGAATGCGAAATCTTGCTCTTGTGCCTTTCCGCCGGTGCAGCCTATGTGTAATCTACAACAATTTTAAAATTATACGCTTTTGATAATTTCATCTATACTCATGACATTCTAATTGGCAAACCATAGTTTGCACATAATAATTGCTGTTTTTATTTTGTATTAATGTATGATATTCTCCAAAGAGATTATTATAATGTAAATTTTAATATACTTCGGTAGACCTTTGCGCTGTGTAAAGTATACGATTATTTTATAGATTCTAGAGTAACGGCCGCTTGCGTTATAACTATTTGAGATGATGCGATTTCGGTTCGGATATCAAATCACTATCTATTGCTTCATCACAACAAATACCAGAATTAAACCAATTTTAAAGAGTATACCATACTATTGGAAATATTATTAACATGTTAAAAAGCCAATTTTATAAACGAAACTGCTCAACCAAAAAAAACATTGACTGGGCAACAACTCGTTACTGATTTATAATTATTGAAGAATAACAATGATAGAAATTGATTTAAATCTGAATTGACTGAAAAATCGAGTGAAACATCGGGACGCGCAATCATTGTTGAACATACGACTGTTGTCTCAAAGCAGATAGATCTTCCGCACGCAACGGCCCTAGTTGTAGTTCGTTGTACAAAGTGATAGTTCTCTTATGATATCCAAGTATTTTTATACATTATTTTTATATTATTTTTTTAACGATTTTATTCGTGGATTTGTACATAAATATAATGACTGTTGAATCGGAGTTGTGGATCTCGGAATGTTGGTTTCGTTTGCGAACACAGAATGCCACGGTTATGTTATGGTCTGAGGTTATCGGCATCGGGTGAGTCATGTCATGTATACGATATTAGGATGTAATGTAACGACTTGTTAATGTAGAACATGTGCATTTATTGAAAAATCGACTTAATTATAATACTCATTGTATACGTTGTAGTTATAAGAACTTTATTTAGTGAGAATATTTAGTTTCTAAACGTATTAAGATATATTTTTTTTTTGGAATAGTTTATCATAATTTTTGTACTTAATAATTATTTTTTTAATAGATGATATTTTAGCCTCGGCTGTACTTACACAAAGAATTTTTATACAATATTAATAATGTCACAAAATACCATGTGATATAGACCAGTTAATATATTACCATGTATACGATCATATTCTTATGTTAACCTTCTGAGTATTACATTGAAGTATTATTTTTTGCATTGTGATAAGATATTATATTTGATATTATGTTAATTCAGAAAGTATTATGGAATAAAGGTAGCTATAAGTGGCAGTCGTCGATCTGAGAATGTTTATGCTGTGTAGTGATTATGGTAGCTGGGGGAGACTTCTCTTGTGTATAGGTACAAAGAAATGATTATATTGCGCTGATGTACAAAATGTTTTTTTATTATTTCATCCTTTTTGACATTCCCTCTTTGCATGAATATGAATTAAAAATAGGTACATACTACTGTTTATACCTATGCGGTGCTTAACGAACGATTTTACTGCATTTCTATGGTTAGAGTAAAACAAAGAGGTTTTTATCATTGATTTCAAAGCCATCTAGGTTATTTGTTTTCTAGCATCGGAGCCACCTGGTTTTTTTTTGCAATGAAATAATTATTGATACATTGCTAGAAAACTGTCATTTTAAAATGGTTTTAAGTGTAATGCTAAGAAGATTTTGTGATTTATTCAGGTATATTTTATTAACGCTTTTATTATTTCCTCTCCGCAAGATTTGTAGTAGCATATGATTTGGGCACCAACAGAGATCTAATTATTAGTGCATTTCAGGGTGGTTTTATATTCGGTCGGCACGTGGCGGCTTACACTTAGTTGCCGACGGACATATTTTTTACGAGGACGGTGGATCTCACCCTCGACGGGTCACCTGGAGATGTGCCAGGTCATACCAGAAGGCAGAACGTTGTCAAGTAGCTTTGTGCCTAAGAGACGGCCGTTTGGTTTACTTCCGAGGTTCGCACAATCACCCAGCGACATATAACCCGGCGAAACACGATTCCAGGAAATTTCAGGTAGATCCGATGGGGAAGTATAAGATCGTAGCTAGCCCGGCACCCCGGAGGGTTCCCATGGTGCCCGCGCCCCCCGCGCCCCACGCAGCCCTACTGCTCTAGGCCTGGCGCGACCTCCTAGTCCGCGGCCTCCTCGATGGGAGCCATTGACCGCGGCTGGGGCGTCGTTAAATCACAATTACCAATAAAATTAGATATTAGAATTATTTATTCCCGTTAACCATCATTCCTTCTATGACATTGGATTTGTCGAACGAAAATTATTCGACTTGGATTTTTGATGTTGCCCTAATTTAAATCAACGGTGTTACAGCGGCGATGTTGTTTATCGGGATATAAGCCAAGTATTTCTCAAAGAAACAAAACTTTCTTTAATTCCCCCTTAAACGATTGCGTTTTCCAGGAGTTTATATCGTTTAAGTTTCTTTTAACTAGTGTATTATTCAGGTAAAATCGATATGTACGCGTAGCTGTAGTATGGAATATTACTATTATATTGTAGTTTTGTATGAATTAGATATTCTTGGAAAGGATTTAAAGCAGAGTTTTGTATCTTTAACGTTGTGTTATTCTTGCAAAATGACCAAATATTATCAAGTATTTTATTTACTTTTGAAGTAATTTACCAAAGAATTTTAGAGAATGTTAAATGAATGTTTATTTTATTATGATTTTACCTTATTTAAATGTATACTTTGAGTATATAATTGCAATTTGGCAGTGGCATTAAAATGTAACGTGTCACTGGTTATGAAGACGGACGGTGTCGATAGAGTTCGGTGACTCTAGTTGCCAACGGTGTGTAACAGGCAATTTCACAATACTTGTAGTAGGTAACCTAACGGCATCTATTGTGATTTTATGGGAATTATGATGGGATGGGACTAGAGACGCTTTATGGACGCCTTGCACCAAATGCCTTAGCGGCTAATGTTTAAGTGATGATATGATGAATAAGATATTAATAATTGTATGTTCCGGATGTGCAATATTCTCTTACCAAATGTTTGGAAATTATGTATACAAACTGTATAGCTTTAATTATAGTGTAGCCGTCTTGTTGATGCTTTTTTATGAAATTCTATTTATTGACCGCGTCGTAGTTTGCGGACCGACTGATAGACGATGTTACGAAATACTCCAATATTTACGATCTGTATTTAGCTGTAGATGTAGATAAGTACGTATAACGATGTACCAGCTTATGAATATAAAATATACGAGCGATAGTTTTTATAATAGACCGTATTATGTAAAAATATGAAGATCATATAGAGATCCATTATTTGTATAGCAAACGTAGAGCTATTGAGAAATAGGTCAAAACTTGGAAATAATTTTGTAGTATGTCTGTATATTAAATCAGTGATAGCTATATTCAGGGTTATTTTCACTATTCCTTTATTAAATATCGGATTGTGACCCATCAAATACTTTTTGAATTACTGTCATTATAATAATATGTTTACTATAAATAGCAATACAGGATACTTATTAGGGGGTAATGTTATTGACCCATTCCCATTAAGTCTATAGTATAATAAAATCGGGGTTTCCAAATATTCTATAAAGTTTCTCTGTAAGTTATAATCAGTAGATCAGTACCGAATAATCATGAGTTCTTTGAAGATTATGAGTAAGTTCTCAATTTTGTATCTGCAATCTATTTATTTCATTCATATACCCATAAAATACACTTTATTGATGAATTTATGTTTTTTTTTTTCTACGGCTCCTTCGGAGCCAGGGCCCCTACTATACTATGTCGACTACATTTGATTTGCAGCTGTTTAGACGTGTGGAAACATGTGAGTCTATAATTCTGTGAATATTTTTAAGCCCGCGACTGTAACATTAGTAGCTATAGCCGAGTAGAAGTTATTAATTGAGTATAAGTAAAATAACTAAAGCGAATATATATTAATTTTAATTCTCGTTTACGGCTTAAAAAAATATTTGCTTAAGTTATTACTTATACTCAAGTAATAATTTCTACTCGACGAATAGAGAGGGATGTTAGTGTTTCGATTGCTTCTGCAGTATTAGGCGTGGTGCAGGCTGACGAGGGGCCACTGCTGAAGATGGGCGGGTATTGGTACCAGCTCGAGGGTTGCTACCGCTCGAAGAGGCGGTGGGTGTGCGCTCGCGGCTGTGGCGCTCGTATCCACACAGTGGGGAAGAAAGTTGTATTTTTCCTTGCTAAGCATCGTTGCAAGAATTTAAACAATACTTATTAAATGAAAATTTTACATTTTCACTCAGATTAATATAGGTAGTATCGAGTAAGTGCCTTCCCTAAACTAGTTTTTAAAATGAAGTGGTACTCAAAACGATTTGTACGGATTATATTTATAAAGTGCTCTCTGATTATCTGACTTTAATGGTGTTTTAGTTTTTTTATTAACATCTTACTCATATTGTGAGCTGCGTATTTTTTAATTAAAAATTGTTCAAACTATATTATGCCCACCATTTATACACAGAAAAAATAGCGTCTTTTGTTTTCTCAATTATAACATAGGTTAGTGTTCAATACCTATTGTATGTTATGTGAACAATAAATAAACTTATTGAGAATTTGATCTGATAAAAATGCCGTTTATTATTTTGTTTATTGCTCAAAACCAGAAAGTTGAAAATTTTCATACAAGGATTTTTTTTGTATTAAATAAGAATTATATCTATAACAGTAAAATAATAATAATATAATCAAGAAGCCCAGTTATGCTTTGAATATAATTCGCAATTAAATATAAATCTTATCGTACATAATTAAGTTGGTAATGATTATGTTGATTTTTACCCAAACATATATCTAAATATGTTTCCAGAACGGGTCTTAGAATATAATAATAATAATTATTATTAAAATTCCTAAATATACGGAGTTAAAGGAATAAAAGGCAGCAATTTTAAATACGTCTAGAATTGTGAGAGTTTTTAGAAATTGAAGATGAACACACAAACAGTACATAATAGGCAAAGTGTATATTTTACTTGGTTTACACGGGTATACCGCGAAATGTAGGCAAGCAGCTAAAACTGTGAAAAAGAGTATAACAATAATAATTATAATATCTTCTTTATTGTACGCGACACAAGATATATTACAGAGAAGCTAGAAATAGAGAAAATACACATTTTCTACAGCCAACCTTTTTAATTTTGATATGTTAAAATGTAATCGTAGATAAATATAAATACATGGTGGTTAAAAAAAAATGATTTTTGATTAGCCAAAATTAGTAAAATGACCTTATCTGATAATTATAAAATTATTTCGTGAAAGCATTTCATATATCATTACAATAAAAAATAAACAGATAGCGTTAGCAAGCAACAGTGTGAAGTTGGTAAGTCAAAGTATGTATAACTGCAATGTGTGTTACAGAATCAATTTAAATCTTGTGCATCTAACGCTTAATGCTTTTTATAACGGAAACATTGTGATTGTAATTGGAATTTAGAAAATGATTTATTTTCTGTATAATTCTGAAAAATGTTATGGTTTATTTATTAATTGTTACAAGTCATTTCGGGAATATTCCGTCTATAAGAACGTTCCCGAAACAAAGATTTGTAAATAAAAAATAACTCATGTTTCTAATTAGTTTATTTAAGTTCAAATTTGTTTCTAGGAATTAATGTGATGAAAACAATACGTAAGAGAAATGCATTAAAACAATTTGATAGCACAGCTTATAAAAATCTTCGTGCTAAAGCGAATGCAAGAAAGCGCAAGTTTTTAGATAAGATGACACCCGAGCAAAAAGAAATAAAGAGACTTAAAAATAGAGAATATTATCAAAGAACGAAAGCTGAAAGGAAAACTATAAGTGCTATGTCTGAAAGAGAGAAGAGAAAGCAGAGAAAGACATGGAGGATAAATTCTCAAAAATATAGACTGAGAAAGGGATTGTTGAAGAGTTCGGTTCCTTGCCCAGAAGGTTCAGAAAATGAAGAGATATAAATCATACTAATACAACTAGAAATAGCGCTTAGAGACGTTTTAGCAAAAAGGAAAGATTGGGCGTAGTAATAAAGTATCTTCACAAAAAATCATTTACAATGGTGTTTCAGTTCCTAATCCCAGAGATGAGAATTTTCAGACAGTTCCCAATCGGCTGCAAGTAAAACAAGAATTACTGAAAATATATAAAGTCGTTAAATTCCCAGACGGAAAACATCTTTTAAAGTCGGGCATGGATTCTGTCAAGCTCCCAAAAAAGGTTTTCGTTATAGTTGCCTGAAAATTGGCCTTTTCATTTGCGAATGAATATGTAACTAAGTTATAATCAGTATAGTGAATTTCTAAAGGGATGTGTACATAATATAAGACATTCAGACTAATATATTGCGAAGGAATCGAATCAGTTTCACGAAGGAATCGACTTAAATATATTCTGAGGGTTGCGGATTTGAAAATAAAATACTTTGTTCGGTAACATATTTTTTTACAATTTCATTTGTATAATTCTGAAGAACATAGATAATTTATTTTATACTAGCTGACCCGATGAACTTCGTATCACTTACCTCTTATATTGCGTAAACTGACCACTACACGACCATAAATATTGTTCGTCAACTCAACGTTTAACAGCTAAGAACAGTTTGTATGGGAAAATCAAATTGTCGTTTTTAGTATTATACTCGCAATTTTGTTATATTTTCTCATCGTTCAAACCTTCCCTGGACTTCCAAGACGAATATTTCGAGACTAAAATTTGTCAAATCGGTTCAGCAGTTCTCGAGTTTTAGCGAGACTAACGAACGGAAATTCATTTTTATTTATATACATAAAATATGTTCTTAAGATTTTTGGTTTAATCCTAAATCTTTGTGGTAAATCTACGTTATTGTTAGGAGATGAAGAAGAGTATAATATGAATGAATAATTATTTGAAAACAGTAACTTTTCGAAATAGCACTTGCATCACGTAGTGGAAGTTATCCGTTGTTCATTTAATTTTCTGAACTTTATATTACAGTTGAGCTACGGAATAAAAACAGAAAATAACTCTGGGACCGAAGATAATATCTCAAGTATGTTATTTTAATAATTGATATACATCTAATTACTCTTATTCTGTAGTAGTTTTACAACTCCATATCACACTACTGTTAAATTCTTCTCAAGGCATGTGTACAAAGGGTAACATAGACTCAATAATACCAACATTAAAATGTTTCTCTGTTCTATATCTACATATGTCATTCAATTAGTCGAAATATATTTAAATACAGATGAAGGTTGACATATAAACCAACCCTTAAGAATTTTTACGACTTGGCAAGATGAAAAGCAGAACATTGTTTTTCATTCCCTTTGTTTCGTTAATATTGAAAAAAAAAATGTTGTTACAATATTGCTTTAGGTATTTTAATTTAACAATAAATATTTATATACTTAGCTTTACGTATATATTTTGTCAGATAGTTGCGGCTAACATTCTATAACCATTTCAGTGCAAGTTATATACAGTCAGACTGGATATCCGAAGTTAATGTTAAACGGTTACATATACCGGCCCCACAACGCGTATCGGAACCAGCCCAAGGTGTTGTGGTACTGCGCAGCAAGAAATAAGTTTCAATGCAATGCCACCCTTCGCACTTATAACAGGGAGGTCGTAGCGGTGGCGGGCACGCACAATCATGCGCGCTGATCGACACATGCGCGTGCGCCGCCGTTGTCCAGACGCCGCGCGCGCTCCCTCGACACGATGCAACTACAAGAGATATTTAGACTCTATGGAGAGAGGTTGGGCCTACCAACTGGAACTGCAATGGATAACGTTCAAAATTCATAAAATATAATTTATGTGATAGTTCCGACCTGGAATAAACTTAGATTATGATTTGCCAAGAGGATAAATAATAATTAATTTATAAAACTTTAGCATGTGCAGATAGCACATAGAAAGGGCAACTTTAAATAAACATTGAAAAAATGACCTTTGACTGGTACATATTTTGGTCTTAACTAGAAGCACATTTTACTGATGTCAAATCTGACGTGATGTTACGAAGTCAGAAAACAAAATAGATTTCCTAATATGTCATGTTGTTTATTATAAATTTATCTCTTAGTAATTAGTATCTTTATGTAGTATATATTATACTATTATTCAAGTGATATTTGGATTATGATGAAATTTTTTTGACATGGTATTTCATATTTTCAATTTGCGAGCAAAGTCACAAATTGCGCTCTCTTTGTTATTTTGTTTACTGTGTTTGTATACTTTGTAAATAATTGTAAATATTCTCTGGTGTATAAATATTTATTATCGTAATATAGAATTTTTAATTCATAATGCAGTAAATGAGTAGACAATAGATTACGTGAGAGAAAAATCAACCGCTTGTGAACGCAAGTGTTTTCGGTTTCAATTATGGTTTTGCGCAGTGCCGGCCGTGTACGTGCCGTCGCGGACGGGCAAGTCTCTGCTGCTTCACGACGGGTACACGTTCTACCTGAAGAACTTACAGGCGCATGGCCGCAAGCAGTGGTACTGTTCGTCGCGAGACATGGCCGGTTGCCGGGCTGACGTCATCACCGCGCCTGCCAACACTGGCAACGGTGACGTCCTCTTCTTAGTACGTGGACGCCATATTCATGGCCCCCCTAACTACTACTTCACGCCTGATGGTAAATATGTCCGGAGGAAAGACGTTTACCACAGGTACAGGTAGCGGTTTAGCGCTCTGACCATGAAAAACAAACATATGTATTTTTTATTTATTTTGTATTTTTTTGTGAACGTTGTTTTGTTTTTTTTTTGTGACAATTGAAAGTGATTATGTATTTTTTATGTATTTTTTTCTTATATATTTTTTTTTCTATTTTCTAGGTATGGTATAATAATGTAATCTTAAAAAGTTCCTGTTCGAATCGATTACAAACTATTTCTCTAGTGCCTATTGACAGAATGTTAATTCTCGTTTAATGTGATACGACTTAGCTGATAGTTAAAATATAGAAGGCAAAATAATTTTATAAAAAATATGTTGGACTAAGCTATGTACTTACGTTTTATTTCGTGTCGTGTTGTATTGTATAGATAGAATGTTAGTTATACTTAAAATGTGTTCTACAGGTTTCAATTTTACCAAATTGTTTTAAGTTCGTATAATTAAATAAATTGAAGTTATTTTATCAGCATATTTGGTTTATATAACATCAACACAATACTCAATGACAAATTTCTTTTTTTTAATATGCTATTGAAATAATTTTCTTATGTGAGTGAGGCGAATAATTTGTATTAAGTCAATCTGAAGTTTTATTAAAGGATTCAAACATTGTGCGTGTTTCCTTCTTATTCACGTGGCGTGGGACGTAGGTACGCTACGTGACGTAGTAGGCCTGCGTAAGCCGGCTCCATTGATAAACGAGTGTCAGTCGGATTTGTGATCTAACTTTGAAGTTATAAGGCTGGATTTCCTTTGTTCGTTGAATATTCTGGGGCGGTCGCGTGGGTTGCGTTACAACGTCAAACAAGTAAGGCTGAATGAACCACGTGAATTTGTTATTTTTGAGGTATAATTCAACAAAACAAAGTTTTCAATTACAAATGATTTTAACTTTTTTATAAAAACATTTTTTTTTACCAGATTTAATAACCGACATGCTAATTTACGCAAACTTCTGACTACAAGAAGGGTAATATGTAAATAAATACGTATTCGTAGAGTTCAATAGGTACTACATATTTTATTAAACTGGCAAAATAATAGAAGCCTCTTGTGATTCACAAGTAAATGAGAATCAAAAGGAAAATTCGACAATGAAATAAAATATTATGACGGTATCCAACATCTTTATTTATTCAGGCATTCCATCCATAACTGTTTCCTCGATATCACATTGCAACATCGGATGTATTCGTAAGGACATGAATTGCGCAGTTGAGTCGGATCAATACAACCTACAAAGTTATGAAAGAAGGAAGTTCGGCAGGGCACGGGATCGCATGGGCGTGCCATCTCCGCTCAGCCTAGTTACGCCCTGTATGCCCTAATTTTGACGTACTACGCGGTACGCGGGCGCGTCTGTGTGCGTGACAACACCCGCCTCATCCAGCTGGCGGTGCCGGCGGGCGCATACCATCGCGATACAGACTAAACGATGACTAAAAACGCGGCGACATTAAAAAAAAAAATTAAAAGCTTCACTTTATTACTGTTAGAGTAAAGCCGCGGCGTGCGTAGTTCTCTGTTATTATATATTTTTTTACTAAACCCACGCTCTATGAGATGTGACGTCATATGCGGAACTGTCACAAAATAAAGGAAACGTTTCTGAAGTATAAACTCGTCCTCAGATATTATTCATTTTATTGATTGAAAATAAGTATTTTGCATTTAGATTTGTGATTGAGTGCTGTTGCATTTTGCATCGGTATTTTTGATTGTTATTAATTAATATCCTCATTATAATCTAATGAAATATGAAACGTATTCTAATTTTAATTATATGTTTGATATTTACCTAGGCAAAGTAGTGTGAAGATAGTGAAATGAGGTATTTCATTAGATTATAATAAGGGTCCACTGTATCAAATTTGAGTTTCTGTATCAAATAAAAATTGCATTGTTAATATTTCTTATGACTATTTCAGTATCAAGAACTAAGTTAATTAGGTACTTATTCATATTTTGTTAAATGCGACTGTATTTATAGCATTAAAATAGAATTGTTCTTCTTCGAAAAAGGCAGATTTCTTTCTCGTGTTGTTGACGCAAAAGATTATAAGAACCAATAATTATCCATCGTTCTTAGAAATACGAATCAGGTCAAATATATTATAATTGTATATATATTTCTTATTCTATATATATTTCTTTTGTATCAAGAAATATAGATTTCAAGTGAATAACTTATGTTTAAGGCAGCTACCACTATAGATTGTTTAAGGAAAACACGACTAACGGCAGTTTCTTTCTGTATAAAAATACCACTCTAGAGAAGAAGTGTCAACCGCACGCATCATTTAGATTTTAGACGTACCATGGGTCTCGTGGGAGGAAGGTGTAGTGGGCCGGGGCCCCACCGCGACACATGCGCGCCACTTCTGATGGGACTCCCAATCGATATTACCCCAGAATCTCACTCTAGCCCCTCTCACCTCTCCCGATGCCCTAACTCACCATAACGGACAAAATATAACATCCCATTTTGGTAATAAAGTTGTTTTTACATTAAAGCTTCCTCAAATATATTTTCAGAGCGCTTAATGGCGGCCATAAAGGAACTTTTGACGTAGACATTGTTTTGTTTCGTTATTTTTAGGAAAGAGGCATCGTTGTAAAATTCATGGTATTATTGATAATACTGACAGGTTTAATAAATCTATACAATACCTACTATGTTTTTAAACTTGCTTTGAAAAATATAAGATTAATGCAAATTGTATCACTTCATCAAGTCATTCGCTTTTAATTATTATACAATATCTGGAAATGGATGTTGGTGATTGTAGAAATGTCCAGGGAGTGGAGGATCAGGCAGACGCAAGATTGTATGATGGTGTGGAGGACGGTCAACGTTTCGCTGGTACATGCCCCGAGTTGCTGCATTAGCGTCTACATTAAGGAATGCTGCGATTGCCTGCTACGGACGCGTCTGGTCCATAAGTAGCAAACCACATCAGTGTCGTAGTCTACAAAATGCTTTAACATATCTCAGCTGACCAATAAGTCTGAACAAGTGCATAGAATAATTAGATCGTTACAATGTTTCATCGTTTGTTATCGACGCTACACAGCGCGCTAATAGAAAATAGGTTTTTAATCAAATATCTATCGTTTTTTCAAAACAATATTTCTGTTTTAAGGTACTCACGTGGTAATAGAAATTATATATAGATATCTTTGAAGTAACTAATAACCAAATGTATATATGATTAATTCAAGACGCCATGAAACAGATGTTTTAGTCTTAAAAATTATAAATCATGTTTATTTGGATTTTATTCCAAATAATTGGATTTTTTAAAGCATTTTTCATTAAAAATATGGTTCATTCTAATATGTCTATTTCAGTACACTAAAATTGTTTGTATTCAGTAATCCGTCTAATTTTCTTTAGAATTGCAAATGAGAGAAACACAATGCAAGCTATTGAATATTCACTTTTGAATCTATTCTATGTGTTTACTAAATAATTTGTTTTATTATGTGGTTATTAGACTCGCTCAAATGGTTTATTGCAATGACTGAAAACTATTCCCCAATAGTCCCATTAATTTAAACATAACAATATTTTTTATTATATAATAGTTTTGCCTCTTTAGACTCGCGCATATTTTTATTTATTTTTATTAAATTCGATAAATTAACAAGTAATTGTTTTAACCACATTTTAGACATACCACAATTTGTGAACTCGCATTAATTTTAGGAAAGTAGAGTAAAATTTAACATGTTTATGTAGCAGCTGTTTTTATGGTCTTAATTTATCTTAGTGGATATTGGGGTCTTGAAACGGGAATTTGGTACGAGAGCAAAGTGAAAGCATTCTAACCTTAGTTTGATGTTTGTCATGACCGCGGATGCCGGTCTTTGAACCTAGAATTAAGGTATGTTAAACCACCGAGCTCCAAACTCGTACTTATCGTTTTCTTAACCTGTTTTAATCTAGGCGTGTGATTCGATTTTAACAAGAATTCTCAGTATCAGTACTCGATTTAATAATCCACTTTCTATATTTTTGGAAATAGATTTCTATTTATAATATGAAGTTCATATTATTGTTCATCTATAACGTTCGATTATGATCTCAGATTTTACCTGCTTATTCTGGGAATAAAAAAAAGAACGTCTAGACATCCTGCCTTAAAAGCATTTCTATAAAAAGTTTTTTTATAAAGCTAAAAGGTCTAGTATCAGGCAGGTAGTCGCGAGAACTTTTTTCATTCAAATACTTTATTGTCTGGAATTAAGGTACGTTTTCATGTAGGACTAAACCCATAGAAAGGTACAAGTGGTGTTCCATTTTTTTCTAGCTTTGCTGTTGTACAGTTTGAAGTACAGGTAGACTCATTATGAATATTCACTTTACAAGTTTTTGTTTTATTGAAAGTTCTCAAAAAACCACTATATAATTTTAAGCATAAAAATATAATATGTCTATATCATAATTCGTTTTATTCATAGACAAAACTCCAGTAATGCCTTCGTTATTTAAACATTTGTATCAAGTGACGCACCTGTTACGTTCTTCTATAACTAATTTCAGTGCCAGATACAATTATAACTAGAAGGCAGGTACTACCGCGCAGGTACTCGCTGGCACCTACTCAGGTATTCTAATACCGTTACGTTGAACAAACTGCAATTATCATTGCTTTGCTTGTCTAAGAGATCTAACGTTGAGTAGTTGATGAGTTAATAATACTTTGGGGTCTCAGTATTACCTAATGATTTTTTTATAGTCACAGACCTATTTTAATATAAATAATTACTTAATTTAGTGATAAATTATATACATATAATTATTTATGTAATATATAATTCTATTGTTATAGTAGAGGGAATGAATTTTAAAGGTAAATTGAGAAACTTTGTTCTTGACATTTACATTGTTTACCTATTCTAATTTTATGTCTGATTGTTTTTGGATCTCCTCGGATTAGAATATTGAATTAAATGAAATTAGCTGTACATTGCGTAGTGCACAACTTCTGCCTCCTTTTAATTTATACTGCCATCTAATCGTAAATAATCGAAAATGAGTCACTTTCGTGAAGAATCAAGCTATTTCAGAAATATTTTTTGTATAATTATGTATCTACATTTTAGGATTCACACAATATCTTTTTCTATAAATTAAATACCTAGGCATTTTTTGTTTTCAATTAGGTAAAATTCATGTTGTTATAACAACTGCCATTTTACTTTTAGGAGTATTCGTAGTTGAAAATGTTATTGTTATCATGTAAAATATACCTACTCATTTGAAACAACTCCGTAACCTATAGGTTAGTGTTAATAATTTGAAACTTCACAATAAGGTTACAAGTACTGTTCGTGGTAATATTCAGTAGCTACATACACGTGTGTTTTGTTTTAAACATTCGAGATGGTACACATAAGTTCATTGTTTCTATTATTGATATTCAGTAAACTGTTAAGTAATCAGCATACAAAATTTCCGGTATTTAATTGGCGTAGTATTTTAAATATTGTAAGGTTAGTAGAATACCTAACATACTTTACCTTGGTCAAAGAGAATTACGGTACTTGTTTAAAGTTTTAAACAATTATTTAAACAAAACGATAGCTAACTGCTAGAAGATTGACGTCATTCAAAATTCTAGTAAATAAGTGATATTGTAATTTTTATTACAGACAGAATAGGCACCTGAATTTATAAAGCAAAAACGGTCAACTATACTAAAAAGGGAATTATTTCTAATTGCGTCGTTCTTATCGATTTTATATCTTCTAAGGCTAGATTTGAGATTTGTTTTTTTAATATAATCTTTATCTTTTTCTTGATTAAAGGTTTGTAACAACTAATATTAGAACAACTAATATTTCGTTTGTACGTAGGTACGTTTATTGTGGAAGAAAAGAAGAAACCTCATGCAAAGCAGCCAAGACGAGACGTATGGTATCGTTCCGCGAGAATGCCGACGGGCCATTATACGCGCGTCATCTGCGCGTTCAAATAACACTCCGTTATCTAGACTTCATTCTGTATTTGTGCCAGTACTCGCCTCTCTAAATTATTCTATCTGCCTCTTGTTGGTCTTGACTCTTGATTCTTATTTTGTAGGTGTGGAGTACAATTTTTAATGTCTATATTCGCTATCGCATGCAAAAGATTTTAGAATGGATTCCATATCCATACACACAACTCTCTGGTGGTATCTATCAAGAACAACGAATTTTATAAAGTACTCTGGAAATTATCATATTCCATTGATAATATGGAATTTTAGTTACTTTTGATCTTTAGTCTTCAATAAGAAATATGCTTCTAATTTTATTAATATTAATGAAACTTTCCTCATAAGAATAATAAGACTGGTAACGTAATTATCTCAAATAATTTCAATAACGATATCAATGCCAATTACTCATGCATTATCTAAGTAGACACGTGATTGGTCGAAGCATAAAATACTTATAAATCACTCATATGTGTATTTCAATGCTCGAGCCACCGTCGCTCGCAATCATCGATTATATTCGTATCCAAAGCAATAAACAAGGAAGTTTCCTGTTATCCTAACCACGGAAAGAGATCGAAGTTACTATAGCAACGCAGAACAGATTCAATAATACAGTAGTAGATTTTGTAGTACCAACAAATGGCGCCGTATTTTACGCGAGTAGTGACGTAAGTATTTACGTACAAGTTATGAATGGAAAGAAAGTAGCGCCATCAGTGTAGTGTTGCGTAGGCTCGTTCCCTCATTTAAAGTAGGTACACGAAGCAGACGTTATGAAGATTCGAGATCGGCCGCTAGGTGGCGGGACGTAAATATAAACTCTCTGGTCGCAAGTAAAAACATACTGGAGATGGCTTGTAATGATGATTAAAAAATTAACTACCACTACTAATACATTGCGTATAAGTTACATTTTTTGTTACAATAAGCCGAGCACAATTATTATAGACCCGAGGTATTTATAGACCCACCTAATATAATTAACGTTTTTATTACAAAAATCCTTTATCATATTTTAGATTGTAAAATAGAATAGGTTAAAGTGAAGGCATTCCGAATTTGAAAAATAAGCTCGGAAAGTTTATTGTGTTGCTCAGAGATGGCAGCTCATGTCCTGAACGAATCTCATATTAAATCTTATAATGTATTTTGTTAAATCACTTTTTTCAGAACCTTTTTTTGTAACGTCGCGTCGAGGGAATCCTATGATTATTTATGAGGGTATGAACTTTATCCGAGAGAGGACAATTAATGGTTCTGAATGGCAAAAAACCAGATGGGTTTGCGGTAGAAAACGACGTCTTAAGTGTATTGCAACAGTGACTACGTTAGACGGCGTTGTAATAAAAAAATATGGTCATCATAATCATAGCTAACATTATATAATTATTTTCGAATTAATTAGCTAAGTAATCCAAAGCTGTGTGTAAGATAATATTCTGACGGTATGTGAGTCAATATCTCACTGATTAAAAACGAATTCCACAAATATATAATGTGTGTAAACGCTAGTTAGTATATACCTACTTCTATTTACTAGGTAATAGAAATCAATTTGATTATTTAGAAATTTATAGTTTAATTAATCTTAATAGTACCTTAATATTAAATGTCTTCATAGTCTATTTATTTAGGTATCTTTATCTTCCGCTAAATATTTTGTAGGCAGAGTAGAGAAGACAGACCACCACACGTAAAAGCCATCCCTCATTGCACGTGTCTTTTGTTTGTTGTCATTTGTAACTTTTTCATACAGTATGCTCGCCTGTCTTCTATATCCTTCCAGGTTCGCGTTGCATCAGTTTCATTTTTCTGGTAATTTTCTTTATTATCTCTTTATTAAGGACAGGATATTTTTCTGCATTTGCTTTTCTCTGGTAGGTTTTAAAGTGTTTCCTGCACGCATTCTTTTCTTGTCGTGTCGTGGTCAGTTTGAGTGTAAAAAATATATAAGACTTGTGATATATTGATTAATTATATGTTAATGCAAAATCAGAAGTATGGAAAATCTTAAGATTTTCATGTAGAACTTAAGAGTGACCAATGTTTAACGTTGAAAACTTGAACTGTTCTGTGATCGTTGTTAATTTAGCTCAAAGATACGGTAACTGTTGATAGACAAATCCAAGTATACAAAAAAAGTCATTGTGGTATTTGTGCCGTAACTGTCCACCATAATAAAAATTTACGTTAGGTAATATGGTAGGTGATTGAAATTTAATGTTAAGAAATACTAATTATCTTATTCTTGATTCTAACATTGTTCGAAAACTCATTGTAATGTACTTACATATGCCGACTCATGTTTGCAATTCCCAAGAATTACAAGTAAAACCTAAGATTTACTAACATATAGGTTTTGACAGTAACACAAATATATTATTGTTATATATCTTCTAAATTCTATATGTTTTTTAGTAAATACAATTTATTTACATTTTCCTGTTGAATTTTTATTTTGTTTTTGTTGATATCGTGTGCTTTAATCTTGTGATTTAAGCTTAATAGTTGAAATTGTTGTATGTTTTTCATTTTTGGTAGGCAGTATCTTGAACTTTTATCATATTTTTTATCTTCTAAATGATTTCAAGACATTAAGCATTATTTTATTGCAGATATGGTGAATAAAGAGGTGTCGCTCAAGATGAATGGCAGAGCTTATTCTTTTCACGACCTAGAGTTGGCTCTACATCATTATTCTAATGATTAACTGTATCAATTATGATTTTTAGTTGTTTTTAATTGTTTGCTGCACATGTAAGTTTACCTTAAATTATGTATTTATATCTTGAATGAGGAATTAGAAAAATAAAACAGCAATCATAACAATCTATTAGATTGTATAATTTAGTTTTGGATATTGTGTTCCTATTATATTGTTCAGAAACTTTGGATATCAATTCTTTGTATTAAAATGTAAGCTTAGTTACCCATTTTTGTCTAAGTGTGAGCTTTTAATGGCAATATCAAAAACATAAAAGAGGGATTACTATCTCTATATAATATTATATGTAGAGATAAATCGTTTTAGAGAGATTGCTGATACGTGAAAATAGTATTTTTGTTTTTAGTAATAAATAATACAAAGTATTTAATTTAAAATGAAAATAATAGATTTAATTTTTGAGCAATAATAGGTTTTACAGTAATCGTACTCGTAATTAATATTGTACTTCATTATGACAATAAAGACCTTTAAATTTTAAGACCAAAATAAAACGGACTTAAGACAATAAATTTGTGCTTCGAGTTTGAAATTTTTAAGTATGAGGTAGTAATTTAGGTAATTTTCAATGGCGTTTAAAAATACGTTATATGCGTTAAAAATTGACTGCACAAAAAGGCTATTGCTATTATAAGTTTATTATCTATCACAATAATATATAGATTAAGGAAAACCAAAGAAGCAAATAATTTTGTGCTTGCCATATTTTATCTGCCATAAATTGTGATTATATAGAATATATTTTAAGGTATTTAAAATAATAAAACCCACGCAGATTCCGCTTATTAATATGCAGGATCTTTTTACAATTTCCTGTAATATCTGCGTTAGATGTATACAATTATTGTTATATTTTAGCAGGCTTGAATTGTACCGCGTTAAAGTCCACAATAATCGTGTTGAGTTATGTAAAAGTATTCACATTGAACACTGACAACATGAAGGGGTTAAGTGATTAAAGTTCATTTATATTTGTTAATAATATATTATCCTTATTAGTTAAATTAATTTTACTATTTCCTATTCCAGATATATTTTTTATTCATTTTTTAATCAGCGAGTTCAACAAAATTTACACATTAATCGTAAAGGTTATTTTTTTCATATTGTTTTGGAGAATATTTCTCTACATTTGTCTTATCGTTGGTTTTAAGGATTGTGATTCAAGTAGGTGGTGTTTTAATAAGATTTTTTTTGTCATGTATGTGTTCTTGTTGCAACATTGTTATTTTGCCAATAAATTTTACTCAAAGTTCGCAGTTTTTATTTGCATTATATTATTTATTATAGTAGCTATAAAAACTTATAGAAATGACAATATCTATATTACTTTTAAGCTGCTTGTAATTGGATCGCTGCATTAAAGAAACATGTATCTTTCACAGAAAAAATGAAGAATATTTATTTTACTTGGTCATTTTTTTAAAGAAATGTTGCTGTTACATTGTACTGAAATATATATTTACGCGCCAAGATGTCTAGCTTACAAAATTACGTATGAAAACGATTAAATGGTTGCATATATCTGATGATAGAGTGAGCTGAAACCGTCAGTTAATGAGGCAGAGACAGACAATGGCGTATTTTGAGTAAATCGACCATTACGAAACAATAACTTGACACATTTAGACGTAAAAGTGGCATATCTAGACTACGGTATTGAGGAGAAGGACAATGTTTGCCTTTATATGACCTTCTGAATTCATTATATTCTACTAATGAAAAAACAACGCCATTGTCTTCCATCAACGATGATTAAATGAGTCCTACTATAAGACCATACGATATCGGTTCTCCCCAGTGGGTTCATAGAGAAAATTACAAAATGTGTTGTCGAATGACATTCAGCTCGGCTTTCGCTGCATTAAAAAAGTATTTATTCATTGTAGAAATTGAATAAAATAACTACTAATTAACTATACTACGCCCTTTCACTTTTCTCAGTATCACTGAAATAAGATTCACAGAATATAATTTTATTTTCAGACAAGTCGGGTCTGTCATCTGAAGGCATTATGATCCCAAGTAAAAGAGGCAAAAAGTATCTGCTGATGTTAGACGGATATACGTATTCTCAAATTAATTATTCAGTGCATTGGGTGTGCTCGTCTAAAGCGCAAGGTTGCGGGGCACGCCTGCGCAGGTCACACGATGGCCAAGTGTTTCGAGTCAGTGATGTACACACGCATCAGCCGCCACGGTATTTTTTCCGTAATGGCTCATATTACAAGCTCTAACTAATGCCTTAATTAATGTAAAACATAACCTTATCCAAATTATTTGGCGAATCCTAATATTTACCAGCTAAATCAAGATTCACCCTTATACTACTTTCATGGCAACAGATGAGTATAGCTAGAATGAACGACGACGTTGAGAGTTGGTTGAGAGAACCTGGTCCTGATTTTATATAATATTTTTAGAATTTTAAAATAATTGAGTGTTATATGTCTGCTAATAATAAAGAGACTATAAATTAATTGATAAAAATATTTTTTATCTTAGATTTATTTATACTAAATAAGTGCATGTTATTTTTTTGATATATGTACTTGTTTTTAAGTGGATTCCATGTTATTTTTTTGATATACTTGTTTAAGAGTATTCCTTAGTTGCGTATTACAAATATTAAAGAGTACTTATAGCTAAGTTATAAAAGTATGTCAAAACCTTTAGTAACACTATTTATATAGTCAAGTCTCTGTGAACTTTTACAATTTAAAATAAACGCACTTATTTAAGCACTTGTTATAACAAATTGTTTTGGGTTTTATTTTTTTTTCTCTAGTTAATAAACAGTTGGTTTGACTGACTGTATAATCAGGACCTAGTCTTGCTTTGCAGATTATGAACCATTGTTACAGCAGCTAAATATATATGAATATTTAGCTGCTGTAATTTTATTAAATACAATTTAATAAATAGGTTCTCTGCTTTCGTTTAATATTTGTTAAGTGTAAACGTTTTAGTTATAGCATGTATTTAAGGTTCATGCCATCAGGTATTGGGAAAAGGAATAATTTCGTAGCGTTTTATAACTTAAAATTAACTAATCAGGGCCTTGCCGTTGCCGTTTACGACCACCGTCCACCTCTCAACAAATTTATTGATGCTGTTTCGCCAAAAATTTACCGATTTTGCGACATGTGGCTTGCATGTTTATTTTGGTCTTTTAGTCGAATAGCCTTTTTTTATGCAACTAGACCTCTGAAATTTCTTTAGAGCGTTTCCAAGTGTACCATGCTCTTCTACCAAACCACCAATCATGATCTACTATGGATGGTCTTCCTTCAAAAAGAAACAGCTCTATCGGAGATATAATATATAGACAGCAAAATATCGTTGTAAAAACGCTACGAACTTATTCCCTAGCTTTAATATTTTTATTCAATTGTCACTTAAGTGGTAAATTTTTGCTCAGATAAAGATGTACCAGAACAGTCGCAATCTGAAGGTATCATGATTCCCACGAAGAGTGGCAAGAAATGTCTGCTGATGTTGGACAGTTATACATATTCGCAGATTAATTATTCAGCGAATTGGTGCTGTTCATCTAAGAGGCAGGGCTGCACGGCGCGCCTGCGCAGGACCCGTGACGGAGAAATCACTCGTATCAATGATGTGCATACGCATCCACCACCTAAATATGTATACAGAAGGGGAGCTTATTACAAACTGTAAACACAACTAGAAATATCGGTTGTGAGTAAAGTAATGTAGAATTGTCTTATACTATACTGTGCAGTAGCGCTCACTATTCATTCAATAATTCGAACCGGTTTAGGAATTTATAGAATGTAGATAGGTTTGTATGTTTTGTTTACTTATGGTTCCTACACTACACTAGCTACGCTAATTTAGCGATGATGTACACTTTCAACCGATCTTCCGATTCAAAGTTTCTGCCGATTTTGCAGTTTCTATACGGTAAATATATTACTGGAAAATCTATACTATCGTCTGTTTACTTACAGCTCATTTACAGTGATCCAAAGGTGGTCGAGCAATGTAAATATATATATTTAACTATACTTTTTAAATTTATCTAAGGAAATAGGCGAAAATTTTCAAATTTCTATGATATAACACGGTCGCCGAATGCTGTCGTAGACGCTGACGCTGTCATAGTAAAGTGAACCTAATATATATTACGATATTTTCAGTAGGCACAAAGTACACTGTACGAAATTAATGCTCCCTGGCGACCGTACTATAAGACCAATTACGAGTATTAATATGCTGTCATTAAGTTCTTTAATATGTTATGTTACATGGCGGGCAATATGTTTTTCCGCAACTAGACACCTTGTGTCTATTTTGCCTAATAATGGGATTGCATCAGTCCTGCCACCTATATCTTGAAACGCCCCTGCATTCCAGTAACACGTGAGCGCTTGTTTCTTCAGCGTCCAGGCATGCCTTGCACAGGGAACTGACAGAGATACCCATGTTAAATAGGTGCTTTTTAAAATAGCCATGTCCAGTTAGTATACCTACTATTAGTCTTAGCGTTTGTTTAGGTAGTTTATTTAACTGCGTGCCAATTGCAGGTCTACTTTGACTTACGTGCCAATTGCAGGTTTACCTTAGTGATTGCTTCTTTGGCTTGCCCGCAGTCAGTCGTTTGAGTTTAATATTCGTCGTGTTGTCGATAACAGCGTTCTCTTACTCAGTTTCTCAGCTGTCGAAATGGAATGGGTACAGGTCCGATGGGCTTTTCGTTTGACCCTTCTCTGGCTAAGATGTCTGCCGCGTCATTACCCCTCGACCCGCTGTGCCCCTCGATTCATTGTAAAGTTTATTTCTCTTAAAGTTAATTTACAGTGACATTCGTGTATTAGACTTGAAGACATCAAATTGTTGTTTAAAACTTTTAATACCGATGCACTGTCGGAGAGAATACCGATATTTTTACATTTTACTCTCCGGCTTGTAATTGCTTCACCAGCCTTTATTATATCCACGCATTCTGTCTGGAATACCGTGTTATAGATTCCGAGTGCAGTGCAGATGTGGATGTTTAGATCCTCCGAGAAGACACCAATACCTGTACCTGTGTTCGTTTCAGACCCGTCAGTGTAGATTCTTAACTCTTTGTGTGGGTAGAAGTCTGGTGTGTCTTCGTAGAGTTATATTTTATATTTCTTGTCAAAAACATACCTTCTGGGACTTAAGTCGTTGGTGGCCACAAAAATGGGGTATTCTTTATTGATGTTTTTTAGGTTGTTTGTGTGCGGGATATTATTATCCCGCCATAGTCCCAGCATATTTAGAGGTGTGGCTCCGCACATAGCTTGTTGTTTAAAAAGATGTAGTCTTACATTGAGTATCGTCTCTAGTGCTGCTGTCGGGGGTAGATTTCATGCAGCCAGTGAATGCACAGTAGGCACGTCTTTGGAGGCACAGTACTTTGATATTATAGTAAACTCTTTTGTCTGTGTTTAATACTGATGTTGAATATGCACGATAGATAATTACAAAGTCATTCTGATGTTATAATTAGGTAACGTGATTAAGCAACTAATACGTATTCTTACTGATGTAGTGTGGAGCTTGAATTAAGTGAAGTTTTTACTTTTGAGACAATGTATTAATATAAGAAGTTTATATTCGAATGCATAATTCGCATCGATGCTGGTAAACCTGTAGTTGGATTTTTTTACAAAAATGAGTAAATTAGACTATTCTATATGATATCAGCTTTTACTAGCGTTGATGTAATTTATGTTACAGAATATTGAAATAGTCTTTTTTAAATATTATTCTATTAGATAAATGTTAGATGTATTCGTTGAAAGCATTACAATATTAATTATCATAATGTCATATCAGTGTGTATTTTACTGATTAAATAAAAATAGATATTCGCTTAATTGTGACTTTCTATTTTAGGTAAATATTGTAATATTGAGTTACTAGCTGATCACGCCTTTTCACTACCACATAATTATACAATGTCTCAAACTTAAAAAAAATAGAAAGATCCTTCCGTCGGACACGTACGAACAGCTTGCATGGGAAAATAACATTTTGCTTTTACTATTTTCTATGCAAGTTCTTCATATTTTGTCATCATATATACCTTACAAATATTTCAAAATAAAAATCAGCCAAATAGGTGATCTCCAATTTTAGTGACATTAATAACCAATTATAATTTCATTTTATATATCACATAAATATTTAGTAATGTATCATAAACATATAAAAGTACATGATTTGTGTATCTAATATAATTTTGTCATAGGTGAATTGGTCATGTTTCCATCAAAGTCCGGCAAGAAAAACCTTGTGATGTTGGAGGGGTACACGTTTTCTCAGATAAACTATTCTCCGCGGTGGGTCTGCTCGTCGTCACGCACCTACAGCTGTCCGGCGCGCATACGGTACGAGAATGGGAAAGTGACCAGAGTAAACACGGAACATACGCACTCGCCACCAAATTATGTATTCAGAAATGGGAACTATTATAAGTTCTAAATATAAAATTGGTTATCTATGCGTACACACTTGCTTACACAAGCACCAACGCTTGCTTTGTTGAGTAAAAGAGTGTCGTAATATGATTGGACTGTAATATATTATAATTTTTCTTTAAAATACGTAGTTTTTATATTCATGTACACTGTACAAACTATATAATGAATTCACATTTGAATTAATTTTAATATAGGTTATATGTTTTTGGATTCGTCATCGATATTTTGCCAGTAGCATTACGGGTATTTAATATAATTGTAAATTTAAGTGTTTCAATGTTCTGACATTAATATAAATTCCAGATGTGCGGTTCATACCAACGGAAAGGGGCAAGTACATATTGGTGCTTAAAGGATACACGTATTCTCAAGTAGGAGGGAGGTTCTTCTATTGTTCTTCGAAGCACACAGGATGTAGAGCGCGAGTAAGGCTCATATCGGGCCAGCTGGTTGTGTCTGGAGACAAGCACAATCACCCGCGACCATCTCATGCGCGTTGTGGGAACGGCGCTTTTGTGCCGCTGCGCCCGCGCAGCGAAGTCCTATCTCCCACTCCCACTATACTCCCTTCCCCACTCAGTTCACCCAGTGTAGCTGCACTCGCTCTCCAGGCCCTAGGCTTCCCAAGGCTGTTACCCAAAACAGATATGTGGCTTCGGACGCCCAATCCTGAAGAAGTAAAGAAAGATCTATAATGTAGAGTTGCTTAGCAATTATTATGGCGTAGTAGTTGACAACATTTCTGAAGATGATATCTCTATTTGCATATACGTATTCATAGAAATTCTTATAGGAGATTCAGGTATAAAATTGATCATCACAACGATAATTACTCAGTATAAGTGTTATTAAAATATTTGTGATAATTTAGGTAGTTATCCTAATGACTAGTTAGTTCCCGTCCACGAGATTATGTGCTGATGTGCATAGAAAAAGATCTGTTGTCAATTGTATACCACTCGATAAAGTTTTTAAAACTATAGAATATTGTTGATGTAAGTAAGAATAGACTTTCGAATAGCTTACCTGTTGTGATCTCTTTTAAAAAATCTTTGTATATTTCGACGACTATGCTTATTCTTAAAGCTTTGCCTATGGTGATATTATGAACGCGATACGTAATTTGGTGATATTTTATACTTATTAATTATTATGAGCCTTATTGTGTGTTAAGTATTAAGAACACTACTTATATTATTATGTTTGTAAATAAAATATTATTTTATATTAAGAAATACTCCATTATTAATAGATGATGCTTAAATGATATATTGTGTTTCAATCATATGAAATTAATTTGATTCCTTTTGCGTATATTTGGGTTTCAACAAGCAGTTGGACTTTTCGAAAATTTTAGAGTACATGTCGTATACACAAATGTCAGTAGACAAGACAGAGTTTTTCATTATAGAAAAACATCGTAAAGCCTTTTGTTTGACTTGGGTATATTAAACAATCAACACGCTTTTGCTAAAGAATCCCGGCAAAATGTCAATATTATAATAGTTAAAAAAAAAAAATTTTTAGTATTACATCATAATTTTTCCGTTGGAATACCTTACAAAGAAAAGAATAGTTTGAAAATAAAATCAAAAAATCGAAATTAATTATTCAGTCTAAGCTGTTACAAGCACTTGTGAAAGTCGAGAGCTACGCCATCGGTTCGTAAATCTACGGCGCCGGCGGGAGGCCTTGCGCTGAGAAGAACCGGCAAGAAACACGGCAAGGGTTCTTTTTTTTCTCCCTGTTTTATTTCATACAGAGCGTCAAGATTGAAAAATGACTTCATTAAAATATGAAAGAAAATACAGATAAAGGTCAAGGCTATTTAGTTGACAAGACGAGTATTTTTTGTTCCAGTGTCCTAATATTTCATAGCACATTTGGAAAAGTTTACAAAATGGGGATGTGAAGTATATACTTTCGTTACTTATGAAGTTAATATATAAAATTCACCCTGTTTTTATGAACTTATGGTTCTGTATATTGATTTTCAGGAAATATTATGTATATTGGGACAGGTAAAAGTAATGTGTGTGCAGTTTAACGGGCATCAACACTAAAAACTTGGTGGATCTTGACAAGGTTATATATCATGGATCTGCATTAAAAGCAGTGTGGGAACAGAATCAAGACGAAAGGATCTGTAGTCATCTCGAATACGTAATTACGATATTATTGACCTAAATGGTACAGAAAAAATCTTAAAATTAAATCTAAACTCGTAAAATAATAAAGTAATTCTTGACCGGATCGAGCGTGTGATTATTGTAGGTAAATGAAAAAATATATGTTTGCAACTGTAACATCTCGAAACACTTCGCCCGCTTTTTTATATAATTTATTTGCTATTTCTTTGTTATTACTTGCATTTAAATTAGAGATGTGAGGTTCTATAAAAACATCAATATATCGATAATGATATACCTATATCGGTAACAGTCGATCGATATTGATATATCACATCACATAGCCAATATGTCGATATATTTTGAAGTAAATTCCAAAGATTTTGTTTTACACAAGTACTCGTAATAAAACGAATTTTATTAACACGAGGTTTTTTTATGGAAAAGAAATTGTTTTATCATAAATTTATTTTAAAAATTCGGTGGCGGCTACTGTATGTAGGGACAGCAGTTTGGACAGCCCAGATACGGAAGTCCGTGAAGTCTGTTCGTACTTCGTATAATGGTAGTTTCTTTGCCTACACCCAAGCGTCACTTTTCTCGGGTGCACCCATCGATATCACAAGGATATCACCATAGATATAAACACTCATATTACACTCTCGAGGAAAATGTCTTATTGTTACTTTAAACAGATTGCGATTGGATTGGAAATGACATAGGTATTATTAAAAAATTAAATACAAACAATTATGTATTACAAATATTAAAGCAAAAAATACAGGTTACAAAATAATGTCACGTGTGAAGATGGATGTCAAAATTTGGACAACGGATATATATCTACTCTTTGGATTTCATTCGATATATTTGAATTTGATATCGATATTACTGTTTCTTCCATATCGATATTTTTGGGTGTCGATATATCGATATATGTTTATATATCGTTTTTATATCATTGCATCCCTAATTTAAAACTATGTTTATTTTATTATTCCAGATCCCTCTAAGTCGTCTACTGTTAGAAAAAAAACACGTTCCTGGTCTGTTGAGGACTTAAAAGCAGCTTGTTTAGCCGTACGATCCGCAAATATAAGTTTAAATAAGGCATCATTATTGTATGGAATACCAAAATCCACTCTACAGAAACGTTTACGATCTGGAAATCTGGAAATGTTATTGGGCAGGCGTTCAACATTTAACAAAGATCAAGAGAGAGAATTCGTTGAACTAATACTTAAATTATCAGAATCAGGAATACCTTTAACCAGTAAGTTGGTGCGGCGACGAGCATATGACTTCTGTCACCAACAGAGTATTCTCCATACTTTCAATAGGCAATCGAAAGAGGCTGGAATGGACTGGTTGCGATTGTTTCTCAAAAGAAATCCGATTGTGAAAGAAAAAATCAAACAAGCAAACAGTATGAAGGGCACATGACCCGGTTTTGGCCATTTTAAGATTATGGTCTGGTTTTGGCCATTTTGAGAGTTACGAGGAAGTGAACTTTCGTTTATATTCTTTATTTATTCAAAACTGAAGTTTGCTATTATTAAATAAAATATCAAGAAGAATGATATGCCTGTTTGTTTATTTGCATTAAATAGGCCCCGAATGTACTGGACCGATTAAATAAAAATCTTTTAACTACGAAAAACTGCATCATATGCGTGTAGGGTTACCATATCTCAGAGTTTGTCCTATGATCTCAGGATTTTTGAACTCTTCTCAGGATTGTGGTCGGAGTTTGCAACTCGCAGGAAATCTCAGGATTTTTAGAATAATTAAAAAAATATAGTATATTTTAAAGATTAAAGAGATAAAAAGTTTTACAAACTAAAATAATTTTCCTAAGTTTGCGATGTTGAACTAGTGAGTCCCCGAGATTCGCAGTATATAAAAAGTGTAATCATTTGACTTCAAGTACGTTTGCGATAAAAATATCAAACTGCAACAAAATTCAGGATTTTTAATGGGTACCAGGCTTTTTCTTCGGACTTTTGATATTTTCAACTGGCAACCCTATACGTGGGTGATATAAGAATTTATTATCGTATATGATATTTTATTATCATATAAGAATTTATTCTTTAAAATTATTTTCACGCCATTGTTATATACAAATAAATAATATAAGTTTATAAAAAATAATTGTTTCAGGATTATGTTTGTCTGTTTGTTCCGTTAAAAGGCCTCTTACAGCTGCTGAGAAGCAGAGGCGATACCGTGAACGACGACGTAAATATAACCCTGAGAAAGAAGAGGAAGCCATGAGAAAGGATTTAGAAAGGTACCATGCGAATAAACGCCTAGTACGGGATTTAACACCAAGTGAACACAAAACGATGAAGAAGAAATGGCGATTAGCTAATGTCAAACGGAGAAACAGGATCCGAGCTCAGCGCTTGTGTGTTAAAAATGAAACAGATTGAAGTTTCGGAGCGAATTGGTGAAAAAATTAAATAAATAATATCTATAAGAAGTGTAAAAATTAAATTGAATTGAATACTAAAGAAATACCTACATAGCAGATAAAAATTAGATAGAAAAATAGTAAATAAAGGAAAGGTTTTGTGTGTTTGGAGAATTCCGTTACTGTTTAGATTTAGCTAACCACATTGCAAATATTATATTAGAAAAATGAAGTTTAAATTCAAAATAGTAAATAATAATAGTTATGAAATTCTACAATTGGAATTAATAAATCGGAACAGCATCCGATTTCGATTCACCATTCGATTGTTTTAGACCCACTAATTATGATTCCTGGTGACTTGAAAAATGTGATCACTGTTCTGCGGCCCATTTAAAAACAGCTTGCTTGTTAGTCCAATCGGAAAAATTATCTCTTTCCAAGGTAACGTGGTATCGAATACCAAGAGCTAGTCTTCGGGATCACTTGCATCCTAGAAAATTAAAAAAAGGATTGGACATAATTCAAGAGTTACTAAATATCAAGGCATGGAATCGATTAAGCTTATGTGTATACTTGAACAAATCTCTTAGTATAGAATTGTACTTATGCTTAAGAAATTGGTAACAATAACTTAAACAAATATTTGGTATAAATTTTGTAAAAAAAAACTGAATTATCTGACGAAAGATCCGTCAAGCGTCTTACAGAAACATACGTTAGTACGCGATCATCTTTCGTAAGTTAAATGTCATATTTTTCAGTTTTGACGTTCTGCGACCGACGGTAAAGTGATGGTCTTTTGGCAGATATACTAGGTATATGATACCAACCCGTAAAAGAAAAATAAAAAATGGTCAATACTAACTTTTGTTTTCTTCAAGCATATTTAATTAAATCAAAGCCCTGTATTTAAAAGAAATTTACCCAGATTAAAATCTTAAGAAAAAAAGATATGCTAATGAATATCTTTCAATTAGAAATATAAACAGTTGAAAAAATTTGCTTATGAAAATATTGCATGTCGGCTTAATAGGTTGGTATTTATGAAATGTCATATTGCTAGTTTTACTTACTCGATGTAATAAACAATAATTTTGGAATTAATTAGGTACACAATTCAAGATGACAAACAAGGGAAAGGTGATGCTTATTCATAATGGTGAAAGGTATTGGAAGAATTATCAGAACGGTGACAGAGTGTCGTGGATATGCTGCAACAGGCGGTCGTGTAACGCCAGAGTCACCACAGTAGGGGCTGATGTGGTCGCATTCAAGAACGGTCACACACATCCCCAGCTTAATTATTACCATAAAAAACAAAATCGTTCCTTCCGTTAAGTAGAAAGGTACTTGCTTGTGGCTTTCACTAAATTGCTTTAAATAATGGTTGGAAAAGTCTTATGAATAAGCTTGTAATGAATGTAGAATATAAATTGTTGTTCGCACACCAGTTTCAAGGTGTCGTCATCTTTGATACATAGACCTGGGACTATATAGATAACAACATTTTCTATATTGTTTCGTGTCTGGGTGGTTACGGTATTTTCGTTGATTCAGATTTCCTAAATGCAAGGGTTTTAGTTACATGAAATCTGACCTTTATATGCGATGTTATTTATTTTATTTTTTTTAATTTTGATAACTAGATCTAGACATACTGGCTTATTGTAGGTATTAATTATATTCCTAAACTTAAAAACTTTGGCCGAAATCAAATTAGGCCTTTATTTGGTAGTGTCCCGTGATTGTGTTTTACCTTTTTTATTGGTTGTTTTAATTTTTGAATCAAATAATGCATTTTCTTATAAAGTAACTATTTATTTTGCATAAAACATAGAAGTGGCCTAATTTTTTATATCCACCAGGATATTTAGGAAGTCCAATCCATTTTTAGTTTTTATATAAATGAAAGTCTAATATTACTTTCATTACTAAAATAAATAAAATCCATTGATTAATAATCTTTTTATGTTGTATTTATGCACATTAAGTATAGAACATACCATTAATTACAAGGGAATAAAATCACATTGGACTAATCCCCATCTGTTCACAATGAAAAGTTTCATAACTGTGATGTCCCTTTTAATAAAAACTAAGTCATAAAATACTTCGTTGTAAATGTTTCATCAATGCAAATGTGTATTTATAAAAAGTTACATGGATAAATTTTAACTTAAGATTCATCTATTAGCCTCTCCAATTATTTTCTATATGAAGTGAATTTGTGTACTTAATATGTTTATGTAATAATTATTTTAAAGATAGATAGATAAATCTTTATTGAACCACTACTATCACTACATTATAAGTTATAGTAAAATACTTAGTTGGTGTATATAAAATTAAAAATTACAACAAACAACGATTCGTACCACCGAACTAGAGTGTGAAGCAGTAGCCCAAGAGGTATATAGCTCAGTGTTGGATGTTCCATATATGTAACAGACACTGATTTTCAGCTGTACCCTAGCCGTCTTTTGGTCGCTAGCGTAACCATCAAAGTGAATGTAGAGTACAGTGTAATTCCACTGTATTATACAAATGATTCAACGTAATAAATATAAACAATAATAGATAAATATTATTACACTCACAAACAAAATAAATAAATTTTTAATAAACATTTACTAGATTTAATTTTCTATAAGATTATTGTGATAATGCCTTGTCAATAATAAAAATAACTCACTACAATTAATACAATGTCAAAATATACATCCAAATAATATTGAGTAAAATCAATCAGTTTTCTCCGCTCTAGCAATTTTGTTCGTGTATCTTTGGATATGGTATAACATTATTTAAATAAAAAAATATTGATTTTTATATAGGTATTCACTGTATGCGAATGGTAACGACGAAGAAAGGAACTACCATGTTAATACATAACGGTCAGAAGTTCTCCAAGAACTACCAGAACGGAGACAGAATCTCGTGGAAGTGCAACATTCGCGGCTGCATCGCGCGCATATCAACGGTAGGCTACCAGATGCTTTGCTTCAAAAACGAACATAATCATAAGACGGAAACTTAATTTATTGATTTCGACTTTGTTAACGTTATTTTTAGATAGTCGTTCTCAACCATTTTTTTTTGCGATGAAACTCTTCTGGGGAACTTTTATTGTCACAGTGATCCAAAATAAAATATGCTAGATTTGTTTGTATTTATTTAACGTGAGTTACGTTATATCTTGCAACTGCATTTTAAAACAGTTATTCTCAACCGATCAAGTTGAAATGTAGTGTACAAGTTATGAGGACAATGCATGGTCAGCTAAGTTACAAAATTTTAAATCTACTATGATGAATGTCCCTAGATGACGACGAGAATTTATAATTCGTGTACTGTCGTGATATGGGTATCAAAAGAAAGGCTTTGCTAAGAAAAAATGTGAAAATACTTTGAAGTTTGCCTGACAGCAGGTAAACAAAAATAAGCATTGCATAATTAGCCGTGAATTATCCGTAAATAATGTTAAAATTTGCATGCGAGCTTTAATGGAAGTAAGCAAGCAGAAAAGTAGAAAGTAAGCAAATAAGAAAGAAATTAACCGTTCCACAAATTGATCGTAACTTAACCGTATATAAACTGTAAAAACAGATTAAACCCAAAATGACATCATATTCAATATAAAAGATGAAATTGTCTTTGTAGGTCACGTGATAGGTTACAAATTTTCTCTTTAATTTCGAGGTTATTTTTCAGGCCATAGAAATCACATGACATAAAAAACAGTTGACTTTATGTGTTGGTTGTATGGATATAAATGCTATTGTTTCCTAATAATGAGTCTCTTCCGTAGAAAATCGGAACCCTATCTTAGAGGGATCCCTTAAGCGTTGGTGAAAAATACATTTCTGTTAAGTGTCACCTAAAATCTCATAGGATAGGAGTGAGTTACTTAGAATTTTGATTGATGCAGAAAACGGGCATTAGATATTATAAAGAGTGCGCGAATCTCACATGATAATATTCATTACTAGCTTTCGCCAGCGGCTTCGCCCGCGTAGACGCTAGGGGAATGTTTTGTGGGATAAAAAGTATCCTATTATCTAAGTCAGCTAATACCCTAACTGTATACCAAATTTCTTCAAACTCAGTTTAGTAGTTTCGGCGTGATTGACGGACAAACATCCAAACATCCAAACAAAGAAACTTTCACATTTATAATATTAATAATAGGATGTCGGGACAATGTGATAAATAATGAAGTTGTAATCATAATTTATTTTTTTCGCCATAAGCAGTCAATAATAGTATACACAAATAAGTATAAATGTAATTAATAAAGTTTTTATATGATAATTTCACATTATGTACTGTACATACGTATATTTAGTACCAGCCCAACTACGCGTTATTACTAGTCGCTAGTGAATATAATCATTCAAGAGATGTCAAATGTTTTTCATAGTTTTGTCTGTCTGTTTCTAATGAAAAATCTAAGTGTTGTATCTGTATAATTGTGATCATGGATTCTTTAGCTATTAATATGGAAATGTATATACGAAAATGTTTTGTATTCATTGAATCCAAAATACATAATATAAGTATTTAGTTAAGAAATATAATGTTTTGTTGGTTAGATGCTATAAGGAAGGATATGCTTGAGGGTACTACTATTATAAAAAAACTGATGAAAAAATAAAAATGTTTTAAAATAAATCTTGCCACCAATAATATACCTAATTTTCGTATAATTTTATATATATATAATGGCACGCACTTGATATCAGCGTTTGTAAGTATATTTATTATGTTTATTCCATATTTTAGTTCCCGAAGAATCGGTGGAGTATTATTTCGCTAAAAGTAAATTCGGCAACCCGGTCCTAGTGATGGGATGCCACCGATACAAATTCATGAAGGCACGGGGAGGTACCAAGAGGTGGATATGTATCAAGACCAACAGCAAGTGTAGCGCATTCGTGGTCACCGAGGATGACGACATAGTCAGGATGAGCGCATCTCATACACATTGAGAATTTGTTTGTAACTTGAGTCAGATTTATCAATAAACTGATTTATTTGCTTGTCTTACAAAGTTAACATCCAAATAATATTCTAGTTATATTTTGAACTATGAAATATATAAGATTTTAAAATAGATATATTGTACAGTAATTATAGTATTTTATAAAACTAATGAAGTTTTTCTTTAACGACTCGTTTATATTTTACTGTGATTAGCAATATGAATATAGTCAAATAGATTAAAGAATAATACAACAGGTGTGTGTTGATGTGTGTCGGTATTGTCCTCAGTGACAGCAACTAACAAGATAAAGTTCGAGATGACTAGGTTCGGCAATCCCATCATAACTTGGGGAAAACACAGATTCATCAAGAAGCTGTCGAGGCGAGTGAAGACCTGGTGGGAGTGCACGGGCAGGAAGAGATTCGGCTGTAGATGTGTCGTGGTGACTGTCGACGATAGGCTTATTAAGATGAACGGCTGGCATAATCACTAGAACCAGTTTTCTGTTCGCCTGTGTATCTATGGATGGCGCTATAATTGATTTTGTATAAATTAATAACTTAAAATTTCTGAGTACCATTGGCGTCGTCCATTTAATATCCAAACCAAATAGTGGTGAAGATTATTCAACCAAACTAGCTTTAAAATTAGAATTATTTTGTTTGAAATTATTCATCAATATATATATTTACATGTCTGTGGTTTCGTGTGAGTGGATCATGGATTTTTTTTATTGTCTTGGACACTAGTTCAGGACTTTAGATCTTTTTTATTTGGCAAATCGTGTAAACAACCGTTTTAGAGAGAATTGGAAATTTGACCCACTCAAATCAGCATTATTCCTTGTAATGAAATATAATGAGCTGGAAACTCGTATGCAGTTTTATTTTGGAGTTTTAAAAGTCTCATTATATCTTGTGTCTCTGTTGAAAAGGTTAAAGTTTATAAAATTTTTATCTTGGTCTCTTTAGTTTCAACTATGTTAACATCTATTGAAAAAAATATAGAGCATTAGCGAGAATGGCGAAGCCGCGCAAAGCCTTGTATAAAACTAGTCCGCTTGTTTAAGAAAGGATTGAGCACAAAAAATGTTTAGATGAAAATTTGTCACACATTTAATTCTTTACATCTTTTTTTAAATAAACGTTAAAGCCATTGGAGTTGTAAAGATTGATATGCAAAAAATCTATTGACTTTTTACCTTGATATATCATGCAGACACGAGATTTTATGACACTTTTGGGACTGCATTTAGAACACTAAATGCGCGTGGATACGAGTTTCAAGCTTTTTATCTTTCATTGCTTTTTGCGCTTATTTGACTGGGTTTATTATTGGATATAGACCTGTTCTAAATTTTAACGACTTGTAAATAATTGACTTGCCACTTATAAATTATTATTAATGATTTCTGAGATCTAACTGTCTAATTTTAAAATCTATTGCAATCACTTTAAATTCGAGATTTGAAGGATATTCACGAACGCTACAACTTTTTGACATTAGAAAACTATTGTTGGTTTATTTTAAAATAAACGAATTTGGTTTTATTTTGGGGTACCCGACGTTCGTCAAAGCAATTATGAATACCGGATCAATGAATGTCAGTGTTTGAATAACGGAGCCAAGAAAAAGGTGTAAAATTAAACGAGTTCAAATAACAGCTAATTTAGAGGTTCGATGTCTTAAATAAATTGGTATATTTATGTATGATTTGTGTTCAGGCTCCGACTGTGTTCCGACTAAATAAACTTTGATAAGAACCATTGCGACTGTCGCGCCATCTGGTAAGCTGAAAATGGTAGCCCTCATTGCCTAATGAGGGCTACTAAAACAATCAAGTGAAATCTAGTATTTTTTTAAATATTACTCAAGAATAATAATAAATATGTCACCGATATCAAAAGTGATACCGACTTTAGTTTTAGTACTAAACTTTTTTTGTGAATTTCACACATTTTCAGCAGAATGGGTAGTGATTTTGGAGTTCACTGAGTTCCAAATTGATATTCGCCAAATCATTAATTATTTCAATCAAACAGCACAGTAAAATTTGCATTTACAGAAATATGTGTTTTATTGGGTATCTTTGCCAAGATTGGAAAATAGCACCAGAAAGTTTTCAGCTTTCATATAAATTACTTATAAATTCTTGATGAAATTTCTATTATACTATACATTTAACATTATTCTAAATATTTATTTTTACTATTGAAAAATTATATTCGATAACTAAAATGTTGACGCTCTTATATTGTACTATAAGCAATTCAATGTTGTTCTAAAGAGTACATAAATATAATTATATAAGTAAGAGCTCATTAGAATTATCAGCACAATATAGAAAAAGTGTTGGCAACGTTAATATTATGTAACGATTATTACAGTAAAAATAGGCTTTTAATATAAAAATAAATAAATATAAAAATAAGGAAACTAGTGGATTTAGTTCCATTATATGTAAATACTAATAAAATATTGTACAAAATGTGTGATAGGATAATGAATGACATTCAAATTCCTGCATGCGTAGCAGGACAGACTCGATAGACTCGAGAAACGCTTTAGACTCGAGAAACGCTTGTGAGTTTTGAGAATCGGGTTGAGAGTGTGATATACTTATAAAATATTTCACTCTCGGTCTCGTTCTCGCCTGTTACTCGAGTCTCTCGTATTCGTCTTGCTACGTATGCAGAAAAAAAAGAAATAGTAATTTTTCTCAGTCTCGAAATAATTAGACGAATAATCTTATACAATATTATCTAGTCCTTATATTTTCGTGATTTTTAAGTTGAACCAATTATAAAAGTTATGATTTTTTTTTATCTGCTTCTTTCTTCACTTGAATTGAATGTTATAAATAAATGTCATTAATATGTAGTTATGTAGAGGTTTTTTTCATAGACTTTTTACGAGTTGATGTTTAAAATTGTAGTTTATCAGAATAAAATAAAATTAACTAATAAAAAAATGAAGAATAGATTTCCAATTTCCATAATCTCTTATAAATCTTTTCTGATAGATATTTTGATTTAAAAAAGCGTGTGTTTCTATTTTTGTAAACCATTTCTTTGTAGGACAGATGACATAGAATTTATTTTTGTATGTTACCTATATTATATTATTTGGGGTATCTAACAATCATTTGATAAATTAATGAATCTATGTAATCTGAATATATGTATGTATGATGTTCAATGAGAACTAGTGAAATAAGTGCCCACATCGTAAAGTTACAATGGGGAGGTTCGTTTTATAAGAAAATTATGACTTGTCGTTGGTTATTCGCTGTAAGGATATAGACTTAAATAAATTTTGATCTAATTTGGCCCTTTTACTTATTTTCACAAAATAGTCTCTCTTAGTGCCGATCTAACGAAGTAAAGAACCTTTATTACCTTTTGAAGTGGGTTTTACTCAATTGAAACTCTATGCTATGACAACGTTTTGATGTTTTTATAACAGAATGGCTAGGCATTTAAAAATGTGACCTAGGTGTGATAAAAAGAGAATTCAAACCAGATGCCTTATGTTATGTAAAAAAAAATCCATCAAGAATCTACAGTATAATGATAAATCATAGAATAGATTGTTTAATGATGGAGGACTAATGGCGATCGAATTTTCACTGACGCCAAAATATCGCTATTGTTACACACGTACCACAAACTGGACGATTGTCCGATTTGCAAACAGTACTATGTGGACGGTCTTATATGAGCAGCTTAGTCTCCCTTTGTGTAGTTTGTATTTAGAACCAGAATTAATAATTAATATATAATTTCAGAGCCGAAGTTTGAATTGTCGCAAAGAGGGAACTTGGTCGTACAAATTGGTGAGTGGCGATTCAACAAGCACGCCTGCTGGGGTTCCAAGGTACGCTGGACGTGCATCAAGAAGAAGACGGGCTGCACCGCTGCTATCACCACTATTGACAATGTTATTGTCAAGACTTTAGGAAAGCATAACCATTGAATTTGAGAAGATATTTTGAAAAACATGAAATGGTTCATTTTTTAATTTTAAATAGGTGGTAGTTCCACTTGTTAATTAAAGCTTATAATTATAATCAAGTTAATATATTGGTAAATATATTATTGAAATTAATTGTTCGTAAGACCTTTGAATTGTGTGTAGGATCATTGTATTTGAAATGTGCGGAATTATATTAATGTTAGATAATAATGATAGCACTCTTACTGTGGTACTACTAATGCATGACATACAATGGAAATAAAAAGTGATAACTATTATCTTATCATTATTAATTAACTAGAAAATTTATTTTTAATTTACTTTTAATTAACTAGATACTTTAATGAAATTATTGAACGGAAGTTTCAAACTTTTGAAAAGCGGTTCGTCGCGGTCTGATTCTGGTTGTATAGTTCTGTCATTTTTTTACAAGAAAATGTCCAATGGAAATTTCATTAATCTTCTATATCCCTTGTCCCTTTATTTGGAGACGGGAGACCCGTTACTCGTCACTCTGTTGTATCCTCATTGGTTTGTCTTCAGTTGTTATGATTTGCAAATCAGCATACTTGAGTTCCCATAACATTTAACCACCATCCGTACATCATGTTTCGACTTTAAAACGTCTAAATGAAGTCCTCAAATTAATTCTTAAAACCTCAAAGATGGTTTATAAATTAAATTAATGTCAGGCGATTAAGAGCATGGCCAGCAAACCTTTGACTGAATAGCTTTTTAGTTTTTTAAGAAATATATTAATTCTGCTGTAGTTTTAAGACAAGAAATCAATTTTAGGATTCCGTACTCAAAGGGTAAAACTGGAACCCTATTACTAAGACTTCGCTGTCTGTCTGTTAGTATCTCATGTACCGTGAAAGATAGACAGTTGAAATTTTCATACATGATATATTTCTGTTATTGCTGTAACAACAAATACTAAAAAATAATAAAATAAACATTTAAATTGGCTCCCATACAACTAACGTGTTATCTATATGGAACCCTTACATTAAGTGCCGTATGTAAATCTGTTTTATTAAATTTTCTCTTCGTTTCAATAGCATAACAAGAAATACACCCTTAACTTTCCATTTTAACATGTCACGTTTGATAAAGTGTATGTGGTTCAGTAAGAGTGTTATGTTACAAAATGTGTAACATTTCCTGTTGTTTTATTCTTGCGTGAATAGTTTTAGTAGGTACATACTACACAATTCCTTATATTAAAATCATAAATTTATTTAGTTATTAAGTTTTACATATGCTGACGGTTATTAAATAGATAAAGATCGAAAATTACTTAATTGGTAATTAGTAACATACCAATTAATCATTACATAACAAAACATTTAAAATGTTAGCAAGCAGTACAAAACATGTCGAAAATGTGTTAGCGATACGTGATCTGCTTTCTAAACTTTTCTATTAATATGGTTTTTTTTTATAGAAAAGTTATTTCTTGTTTTTAGTTGTTATAGGGTTGCTCGTAACCAATACTGTGAATGAGAGCTATCTACA